AGGATGTGCATTTCCTTCAAATTTCTAGCTGCTTTATGCATCTTAGACTTAAGATGTACAGAGTGATAGTTTTAAACCTTTACTTCAAATCATGATAGTCGAATACCTAAGAGCACTTTATTGACTAAATGGGAAAGTATAGACATTTTACAGGATGTCTTTTATTATTTTGTTCGTTTCCACAACGATTCTATATCTAATACTGTCGGTTTATCAAATGCTCAAAACATATTTCTTAATATTCTAAACAGGAGCCGATTCTGAAGTATTGTTGATGCAGAATGATCTGACAAGTCCTATCAAACAAAAGCATATAAAGTTAACTGTATTGAAGGTGATAAGACAGCTGCTCAGTTAAAATTAGTTTGAATCAGAAGTGTCATAAGGTGTCCTAAGATTTTACATCACAGCAGCTGGTTTGAGTTTGTGTCAGTTATATTGAACGACATAAGCTTTGTAAAACTGGTGCAGCCTACAATTGAAGCAAATTGTCTGTATTTGACTGTTTTGATCACAGAACTATTCAAATTTGTTTATAACCCCAGGTAGAATCTGTTTCCCTTTTTATTGGTTTTAATATCAGCTCAATGGGCCCCTTTTTGTGTATCTGGTTCAACCGGTTTTTGTGTTTTTAAATTAACATTTTCCAGTAAACGTACTGGTGCACCTGCAAATGCTTATGCAGGCCTTGCAAGGCTTTGTCTAGGCTCACCTGATAGCAGCATCAGATTACTAGGTCCAACCTTATATCATACAAGAACTCTGGTCCAACCAGTTCAACAGTTTGGTTCGCAAGAAACGAATGTGGACTTGGTCTATCAAATTGATGCAGGCTGCCATATTTATATTTGAATGTTTTGTATCAGTTGTTTTAGTATGCAGATTAATACAGACAAAAAAAAATAATATATATATTTTAATATTTAACTTTTGTATTCACTTTATTATCTTGCACTGCTCAGTAGAGGTAACGCTTAGGGTTTGATATCAAATGTGATCATAGGTGTCCTAAGTCTTCATCATAGCAGTATCACAAAATAACAATTCAAAAACCTATCAATTCTTTATAGAATAACTACTGAACATTTGCCTTTAGTTTGACATGCAGTGTTTACAGTGTCTTATTCCTTCAATGCTCTCCTTACTTAATGATTTACTCTAATGTTGTTTGTGTAAAAGTCGCCCTCTTGCACAATTACAAATCCTTTCATTAAAAAAAAAAATTAAAAATTAAATAAAATCTAATTTAATGATTAATTGACTGTGCAAATAGAATAAGATGTCTCGAGACTGTAGTTTTCAGTATTTTTCATGGACTGGATGTTAATGTGCGCAATATTGATCATCATATAATATATATTTAGTAGTTGGCAAAATTTGACAAATATTGTTTTAAATGTGTTTAGTGTTAATGACAATAAATGCTGCAATATGTTTTGAATCTTCAAGACAAATTTTAAACTGCTCAGTAGAGGTAACGCTTAGGATTTGAAATCATGTGAAATCATAGGTGTCCTAAGTCTTCATCATAGCAGTGGCTGAAACACAATTCTTCAGTTTTATTTTAATATTCTACCGCTATCAGGATTCTTGCTGTACAAATTTAAACAATTCACCTTTCGAGACATGACTTATTAAAGCCACTCTTAAATTACTTACAACATTGTGTGACGGCTCCAGCAGCTGTCAGATCCCTGTATTCCCTGTACATGTTGTGGTTACCACTTCGAGACACATAACGCAGCCAAATACCAATGTTCTTGATCTTCTCTGGCCTCTTCTCGTAGATCTTAACAAAATAGGTATGGTTATTAACTAGTAACCTAGTATCATCTTAAGAGACTCCCTATGGTATTCCAGGTTTTTTTGTCCTGTTTTGAGAAACAGAGATGCATTGACACTTAGATGTGTGGCAAATACATGTCAACACCTAATGTCACCATAGGAAGCATCATTACATATTGCTGTTGTTTTAACTCATTCACCCCTGAAGACACATTAATAACCCTTCCAATTAAAAGGTTGGTATAGCTCATTATGAAATTTCCGAGAGTGAAAGAGTTTTTCACCCACATATCCAATGAAATTTATCAGCATTAATCTATATTGAAGATCTTAAGCTTAGGAAATCTTTTCTGTCTATGAAACATGCAAGTTCCAAAGAAATGTTATCTTTATGCATCTTAGATTTAAGATGTACAGAGTGATAGTTTTAAACCTTTACTTCAAATCCTGATAGGCGAATACCTAAGAGCACTTTATTGACTAAATGTGAAAGTATAATCATTTTACAAGATGTCTTTTATTATTTTGTTTGTTTCCACAACGATTCTATATCTAATACTGTCGGTTTATCAAATGCTCAAAACATAGTTCTAAATATTCTAAACAGGAGCTGAATCTTAAGTATTGTTATGCAGAATGATCTGACAAGTCCTATCAAACAAAAGCATATAAAGTTAACTGTATTGAAGGTGATAAGACAGCTGCTCAGTTAAAATTAGTATGAATCAGAAGTATCATAAGGTGTCCTAAGATTTTACATCACAGCAGCTGGTTTGAGTTTGTGTCAGTTATACTGAACGAGATCAAGCTTTGTAAAACTAGTGCAGCCTACAATTGAAGCAAATTGTTTGTATTTGATTGTTTTGATCACAGCACGATTCAAATTTGTTTATTACCCCCGGTAGAATCTTTGTTTCACTTGATGGTTTTAATATCAGCTCCAGGGCCCCTTTTTGTGTATCCGGTTCAACCGGTTTTTGTGTTTTTAAATTAACCTTTTCAAGTTCACCTGAAAGCAGCATCAAATTACAAGAGCAACTCTGGTTCAACCGTTTGGTTTTCTGGGATTTACTATTTACCCAGAGTACAAGCCTGCAGATTTTGATAAATTATACAAACTAAACAAGAAACTCAAAAATTAAAACATTATTAGCTTTGAGTTCTTGTGACTTAAATTGACTACCACAGACCCTGGTGACAGGCTACCTAGTAGAACTGTACACCTCATACTTATGTTTGAATATATATATACCTTCTGGCAACGAAGAATTTCTCCCTGCGTCCTTTTCATCTTTCTAAGCTGGGTGACAAAGTACCAGAACCTAGACTTGGCAGTGCATTTGTCTGGGGCGAAGATCCTCATCTGGTATAGAGCAGGGGTCCTGTTCTTGTCAGTGGGCAACATACGCCCAATGACTTTGTATTCGGTCAACTGAAATAATGGAAAGAATGTGATCAAACTGGAATCAAAGTATTGACATATTTCAAGTTTAGAAAGTAATGTTGGCTTTATTCTTATTGCTTCTTGTGTGGTGCTCTGAATAATGGTTTTGAACAATCCGGCCAGTTACATTTTTTTAATTTCGATACAAGTTGATAGTACTGCATGTGCTTGTGTAATAGGAGAAAGAGAAATGCATAGCCAAACCGATATTTCCATCCTGGAACACTCTAAACTGTCTAAGGACGATTGGGCTACCTGTTTGCCAGAGAACGACACAGACCTATTCTGCTACATTCCTCCCGAACTTTTTCCAAGTCTAGGCCCCGAAGACAACATTATTTACAGGTTTGGGTATCCCTTTGCCAAGTACATGATTTCAGATTAACTTTACCTCCATATGGGGGGATGGGGGGGGGGGGGGGGTTTCGACATCCTAAAATGGCATTTGACCCTTAAAAAATAGAGGTTGCTATATAAAGGGGGTTAATTGGTGATTTGGTGATTGCGTTGAAAACGCATGGCCAGCCCGAGATTTAAACTCCAGACCCTCCAAACTCTATAGGGACGTTCTACCAGTTGAGTTTCCTGGTCACTGATGAACGACCCAGTCCAGCTCTGCTACTTGTAATGGGAAATATCTTAATCTGGGTTTTTCTTTTGAGGTCAAAAACACGAGAGTATGTAGCAGATCTGGATTTGGTTGATCACAGATAGCTGGTTTTTTTTTATTGCCATAGCCATTGGATAGTTCTTCAGGCTGGTTGTTCCATTATCAAATCATTTAAACTTAGATGTTTCTAAAGGCAAATTTAAAATAAGCTCTAGATATACGTCAGTTCAGTCCAACGCTTAACCACTTGTATAAAATATTGGGGGGAAAAATGTCTGAAAACGAAATACACATGTATATATGCTCTACTGCTATGGGTCACAGCACAATCATTCTTTCTCCCCTACTCTCCACAATATATCCTTTTAAAATTATAATAAGAGACAAACCCTCCTTTGAGTGTGGTTGGAAGTTTTATCATAAGGAAGCAGTAATGGGAGGAGGGGGGGGGGGGGGTTACCGGTTAACATGGGTCAAACGTGGTGGCGACATGTTATAAACTAAAAGGATAAGCATGTTAGTTTGATAAAACAAAATGTATATTAAGATACCCTTGTGATTTGTATAACCAATACATGAGCTCAATTTTATAGTTTTATTTCTCTCGACCTGTCTTTTTTGGATAGAAATTAGAATGATCAATGAAGCATGTTGTCGAAATTCGAGGTATTTAATGATAATTGAACGTGCAATAAACTACCACGAAGGTACAGAGCTCTTAAATATATGTTAACGAAACCTGTTTCAGTGCGAAATTTTAAAGGAGAACCCTGTGAAGTACAATCAATAGGTATTTTATTAGGAGACTACATACATCACCACGGGCCTTCATGGTGGAACACGAGGAAAAAGGAAGATCTCGTCGAAATCTCGTGTAAGCTAAGAAACTTAGGATAAAATATTGTTCAATAAAATAGAAAACGGTCAATCTTATTTCAAATATAAAACCGAAAAAAAGATAAAAGTACATATTTAAACGAGATATTTAAATTAAAATCGAAGCTCAAATATCGTGTCAACGGGATCTGCAAAATTCAAGATGGCGATTGCCGTATGACGAAACGTGGCCGGTCGAATTGAAATACATTTGTTGTATAAATATACTGGTATTGAGGTAGGTTTCATCATAACGTTTATTCCTATTGGCTTTGGCACATTACACTTACAAGATCAACACGAGAAACCGAAAATGGCGGTGACATACGGCTACAGTGGTCTGTGTAATGCTGTAGGATAAGATTTGTTTTGGTAGAAACATCGGTTGTTTATATTTTGTGATGGATCATGGTATAGGTCACGTTGAAACCAATTAAACACTGAAATGGCACACTTTTAATGGTAATAACTACAGGTCGAGTATCGGAGAGCATCCTTCTTGTAATACATATTGTAATAAATTAGAGACGACAGAACTACATCCAGTACCAAATTAATAGAAGCTGATTTTATTTAATCAAAAGAAGAAGTTGACTGAATTCTGAATTTGAAATTTATTTATGAATTTCACTCTTGCTGTGTGGTTTATATGCAATTTATATGTATATATATTTTTTATATAATGTATAACGTGGTTCAAGAACTTTTATATTTATGTGTTTGAGGGCCGCATGGAAGATTAGTCTTGTACTAAATGTGTAACCCTCTTTAAATAAAGTTGTTATTATTATGGTACAGGGGCTCCATCAATGGTGATGTTTATGCCAATATGCCCTCGATTTCATAGATTTATTTGAGTCCGGTATAGAGGATCTTGATCCTGTACCGGTAATAAACTTAACTTATTATGACCTTAGTATCAAATTGTTGGTCACTATAAACAGACTATCCTGATTTCACAGGAGGTAAAGTTTACATTATTTAATTTCTCTTTATTTTTAGCATGCACAACTGGGGAATTATATCATAATCAACAGACCTACGAAATCAGGTCCTTTGAGAATACCGGACAGCGGGCGTGTCAATACATCTTCAGCATGGATGAGGATGCCCTTAGGGGTCTGAGTCCTGCTGCAGACCCACAGACTCAAGCCAGGGTAAGAGTTAAATTATTTTAACCTGCTGGCTATTTTATTAAGTTGGGGTACATACTCAGATAATCCAACAAAATAACACCTCTGACCTCATCGTTTTAATTTTGGATTAAATTGAATTGTTACTTGGTAATCAAAATAGCAAGATGGATATGAGTAGATTGTATACGTAACAGCTAATAATGCCGACACTAGGAGTCGAATACAGGACCTCTGGATTACTAAACTTACACTTGACCAAATAATGAGCTAAAGAGACATTCTTCTTATCTAGTTGGTCTACGTAGAAGTTAGTATTTTGTACCAGGATGACATACAAAGGGTTACTTCTAATAGGCTGTCTTCAGAAGTAACAGTTGTCTGACTGCCAGTGGTCATATACATTTTATTTGGTCTATGGAAAGTTCAAAGCCTTTTAAGAAAAATGTTTTTGTGTACAACAACAATTGCATCCACTGAAGAAATGGAATCAACATTCCCGGAAATATCCCTGTTTCTTCAGGTTCTAAACTAGTAAACATAGGCTTTATAAGGCTTTATTCATGCCATTAGTTGGTATATATGTCACTTGTATGGCTACATTATGTACAAATGTGCTGACCTGCTTGTTAATGAAATAATATACAAAAAGATATAATGGGCTGTAGCAACGATAGAGACCTTTATTTCAGAGGACTTATGACAAAATATGTTGATTTAGCTCAATCAATTGTCAGAAGTTGGGAGATGGTGTCGGTATTGATTTTAGTTACTGATATATATACGATCAAGATGATAGTGGTGACAATTTTATGTGCCACTTAAATCAATGGCACTGGAATTCTTGATGATGTATATGATGTATTTTGTTGAATGGTCTTGTCATTCTTCTGTTCAGGCTTTGCAATATTTCGAGCAGCTGAAGTCTGTCGGCGATGGTTGGAAACTTTGCGCCGAATCCTTTATGAATCCACACTACAGTAGGTCAGTCTATAAGGAGAATGATGTGAAATTATATTTTATATAAATGGTTATAAATTTCATGTTTATCATCACTTCTTTAAACATTCTTGTAACTGTAAAATATATATATGTATACATGTATGTGTCAGAACATTAGCTTAATTTGATTAATTCCAGTGTAATGTTAAAAAAAAACTGAATTATAAGATTTTGTGTAGGTTTGGAATTTTTAAACCTGCACTTATGCATTTTTTAATGTTCAGCTGATATAATGATTTAAGCATTTAAGAGTTTACATGAACATTCCATAACTGTGTCAGATACTGACAAACAATAGAAAGGAATTAACAGAAAGCTGAGTTATAATAAGAATGTTTTTTTTTTACATGCAAGCTTCTGTTGTATATTTCAGCAATGACCATGTTCGTTTCTTCTGCTTACAAGTTGTGGAACACTTCCTGAAGGAAAGGTGTGTATGATTTAAGAGGTGTTCCAGAATCGAAATAGATATGATAGGCCTGAGCAGGAAGGCATTTACTTTATAATATTTGGGTGGTGAGGTCTGAGGATTGTATTACAATAGGCTACAATAGGATAAATAATGGATGCAGGCAGACACTCTGCCTCTTTATCCATATTCTAATATATTTTAAACGTATTTAGAAAATATTATTTATTAAATGTCATTTCCTGAGATTTCTTTATGGACGGCCAAATGATTGTATTTCAATTCAAGATTTTTCCAATGAGTATCAAGATTAATTTCAAAGTCTTTAATCATTGACGATGTAATAACAAATTCGGGGAGACTGTTCCAGATTTCAACAACCCTAAAGCTAAATGAATATTTCTGGATATCATGCTTGCAACGTTTTTTCCGGATTTTCTGTGCATGTCCTCTTGTTCTAGATGATGTATCTAACTCGAAGATTCCTTTTGTTACCTTCTGGTCATGTTGGTTATTCATTATTTTATAAACATTTATGATGTCGCCTCTCAATCTCCGGTATGCCAGGGTTAGAATACCTATCCTGTTCAAGCGCTCTTATTATTGTTATGTATTAGATTAGGATGATAGGGGGACCTGTTAAAAAAGAAATATGTTCTCCTGGGCATAAACTTTTGTACATGTATCATGGATGTAGCCCAAACATGTGTAATGCCTTTGAAGATCTATTTCTTGTACATTTGATAGGGTCAGTGATAAAATAACACGTTCCCCTCAATCTAACCCATAATAAATACAGTATCTGCAATATCTGTCTTGATTTCCAGAATAAAATGTTATTATTATTTTGAACAACATCTACTGAAATATGGATGCTATCTATAACTTACAACTGTTTCTAATGAAACCTACAGTATTAATAGATCATGGAATATCAACAACCTTATTAAAACTTGTGAAAACACATGTTTTTTTGTTAAGGTATGCAAGTGTCAACATTGAAGACCAGCAGATGATCCGCAACATGATAGGTCAATATCTACAGCTACAGGTAATAAAAAATTAATTAATTAATACAGTACTTTTTTATACCATTATGAAGTTCTCAATTTCTCTTTGTTTTAACTGACCACCTATAGTATAAATTGTTTGAATTATTAAACCACTGGACATAATTGCTAATAACCAATATGAACCTTATAGGTCCAGGCATCACTTGATAATAAAATAAAATCACAAAAGTAGAGTTTAAAAGTTAAGCTCTATTAGAAACTTGAATCAACCAGGTCATTATAATTCAACATGAAATGATGTATGTTTTTAGGGATCCTCTTCTGCTGCCGACAGGAGTTTCATCAGGAATAAGATGGGACAGGTGATATCACTGGCATTTATTGTGGACTACCCTCACCGCTGGCCCAGCTTTTTCTCCGACCTGTCCCAGGCTCTCACCCCCAGCCCCCATTTAGTAGATATCTACCTGAGAATCTTTCTAGCCATAGACAGTGAAGTAGTGGACCGTGACATTGTCCACACCAACCAGGTTAGTTAGATCCTAGACTGTGAATTAACTTATTCACCCTGAAGACACATTTGAACTCTCTCAATTCAAAGGTTGGAATAATTCATTATGAAATTTCAGGGGTGATTGAGTTAAAAGATTAAATTCCTTGTGTATATTTTTATCAAAACTAAATCGTTGAATAGCTCATTTCATGTTTATATTTTGTATTTGTTGTATAATTGTTCCACAAGAATGAAACCCAGCAGATATTCAATGATATAAGATATAACAGACATGATTTTCTTCGAATACTTATCTTACGTAAACATGTTGGACAAAATGAAACCTTAAATCATAACTGTGAAGTTTTATTATAGCTTAAATGATTTGAGCATCAGCAAATTAATGTCACAGCATTGCTCTTTTGATGGTTTTTGCAAAGGATATCATGTTTGTGTTGTCCACTTTCGTTATTTTAAATTTGTTTATAAGAAGCATTGAAGTTATTTTGATTATGGTTGAAGAAGTATTAATGGTCAATTGAGGTAATCTGTTTAATATGGTGATAAAGAGTGTGTCATGTGATAGTTGGTTTGTTGTGTGTTTGATTACGATATGATGAACAATTTAATTCATAAAGATTTTTTTTCAGGAAATCCAGAGGAACACTTTGATTAAAGACACCATGAGGGATCAGTGTATACCCCAGTTAGTGGACACTTGGTACCAGATCATGGTAAGTGTCAGTGAGAGACTGTCCAATGTATACCCCAGCTAGTGGACACTTGGTACCAGATCATGGTAAGTGTCGGTGAGAGACTGTCCGATGTATACCCATAATTAGTGGGCTCTTATCACACCAGTTTTAATACAGGACACTGAGTACTAGATCATGATAAATATACTGGTACATGTATTAGTTACTAATTTTTCTGCACTACTCCACATTCTTTGTATAAATTTTGTTTTCCGAGCTTGAATAAACATTGTGGGTAGTATAACAACAATACTATTTCTCTGTTATATCTTTCACAGATAACCTACCAGACCAGCCACCCAGAGGTGTGCTGTATGTGTCTGGAGGTTGTGGGGAAGTATGTGTCCTGGATAGACATCAACCTCATCGCCAACGACAAGGTTGTGGCTGCCCTGCTCCGCTTCATGTCTCAGCCTCTGCTTCGGGAGAGTGCCTGCGACTGTATCCTGGACATCATCAACAAGGGCATGGACTCCATTGCCAAGACCAAACTGGTGGAGTCCTTCACCAGTGTTCTGGAGAGCCAGGGGATTCTTTCCCCACCAGAGGTTAGTGTTGACACAATACGGGGTCATATATATATCTTGAGAATATTAGGTCCCAAGACCATTAACTCATTTACCCCTGGTATTACATAATGAACTATTCTAACCTTTGAATTGGAAGAGTTTAAATGAGTCTTCAGGGGTGAATGAGTTGAACAAATTTTTATGAAAAAATTGAGACTGTCTAATGTTAATGATGTCTATATGTTTAGTCTCATATAAAAATGTTATGTGACATGTATGAATTGTCACCCTGAACCAGTTTAACAAATTTAGAGATCCATCACTGTTTAATTGACAAGAATTAAAGTACAGATGTATGTGATGGTTTGTTGCTTTTCACTCCTTAACATTTACAAATATTTAGTACTGTATCAAAACTGGTCAAAACGTTATGACAAGTATTCTGCTTTCATGTAAGTTGTTAATTCATCTCCCTTTGTTTAAAAAAACTATTAAAGGGAGTGTCTGTCTTGAGGTTCTCTTTTACTGCTGACAGTATAAGCTGTACTTGCATATGTCCCTGTTACGATTTATCTTGAACTGCGTGTGTTGACAGGATGAGGAAGGTGACTTCATGGCCAAATTGTCAAAGCTCATCAATGGTATTGGAGTCAACCTTATTATTAGCTGGCAAAAGTAAGTCTAGGCCGTTTTCGTTTAAACGGTCAAACCGGTTGGACCACAGTTGTTCGTTTATTAGATAAGGTTGGACCTAGTAATCTGATGCTGCTTTCAGGTGAGCCTTGACAAAAGCCTTACAAGGCCTGTATAAACATTTGCAGGTCTACCCGGATTTATACCCGAATTTGTTACATTTATAAATGGTCAAACCAGTTGTTCCGCATAAACGAACAGGCCCCTAGTCAATCATAATTTTGATGGGGGGAAAAAACAGTGAATATGACTGCCAAGAATTTTGAAATTCTGTTGAGTCCCATTTAACATAATAGTGATGGATTTAAAAATATATTGAATCCAAGAACTCAAAATTAGCTTTACAGAAATATGGACATTAGCTCATTCACCCCTACATAACTCAACTAGACTTGCCCAGACTTTGATTTGGTATGGTTCTAATGCAACTTTAGGGTTGAATGGGTTAAATCCTAACCCAGGCTTAAATTGATATGAATAAGTGCTTTCATTTGCATTGGTAAAAAATCCTTCAAAATATTTGTTCCCAATACTTACAATCTGCCCTGTTTCTGTAGACTGTCCAAAACTGGAGACACTGAGGCTTCAGAAATGGCTCTGCAGGCCCTGGAGAATAAAGTTCCACTCATGTTTCGTTTCCTTGGTGATGAAGATGATGATGTTTCCAGTGGAGTGACACAGTTCTCACAAGACTACATAGCTCTCCTCAAACAGATGAAACCCATCAGTCAAAAGCAGCGACAGAACATGGAGGTACAGAATATATGTATTGTTTACACGGTATGATGTGTATGTGATATGGTATTTTAGGCAGGTTTACATGGTATGATGTGTATGTGATATGGTATTATAGGCAGATTTACACGGTATGATGTGTATGTGATATGGTATTATAGGCAGGTTTACACAGTATGATGTGTATGTGATATGGTATTTTAGGCATGTTTACACGGTATGATGTGTATGTGATATGTTATTTTAGGCAGGTTTACATGGTATGATGTGTATGTGATATGGTATTATAGGCAGATTTGCACGGTATGATGTGTATGTGATATGGTATTATAGGCAGATTTACACGGTATGATGTGTATGTGATATGGAATTTTAGGCAGGTTTACATGGTATGATGTGTATGTGATAAGGTATTATAGGCAGATTTACACGGTATGATGTGTATGTGATATGGAATTTTAGGCAGGTTTACACGGTTTGATGTGTATGTGATATGGTATTTTAGGCAGGGTTACACGGTATGATGTGTATGTGATATGGAATTTTAGGCAGGTTTACACGGTTTGATGTGTATGTGATATGGTATTTTAGGCATGTTTAATCGGTATGATGTGTATGTGATAAGGTATTTTAGGCAGGTTTACACAGTATGATGGGTATGTGATATGGTATTTAGGCAGGTTTACATGGAGGTACAGAATATATGTATTGTTTACACGGTATGATGTGTATGTGATATGTTATTTTAGGCAGGTTTACATGGTATGATGTGTATGTGATAAGGTATTATAGGCAGGTTTACACAGTATGATGTGTATATGATATGGTATTTAGGCAGGTTTACACTGTATGATATGTATGTGGTATGGTATTTTAGGCAGGTTTACAGTGTATGATGTGTATGTCATATGGTATTTTAGGCAGGTTTACACAGTAGGATGTGTATGTGATATGGGATTTAGGCAGGTTTACACTGTATGATATGTATGTGGTATGGTATTTTAGGCAGGTTTACAGTGTATGATGTGTATGTGATATGGTATTCTAGACAGGTTTACACAGTATGATGTGTATGTGACATGGTATTTTAGGCAGGTTTACACAGTATAATGTGTATGTGATATGGTATTTTAGGCAGATTTACACAGTATGATGTGTATGTGATATGTTATTTAGGCAGGTTTACACTGTATGATATGTATGTGGTATGGTATTTTAGGCAGGTTTACAGTGTATGATGTGTATGTGATATGGTATTTGAGGCAGTGTCTGTCCCTCTGTCCACACTTTTTTTTTCGCAAGATAACTTGCTTAAATATGGTTCAAATTGGATGAAACTTGACAGTTGTTGTTTTACAACACCATTCCATGTATGTGATATGTATATATATAGTATTTCAAACGGTATGATGTGTATGTGATAAGGTATTTTAGGCAGGTTTACACAGTATCATGTGTATGTGATATGGTATTTTAGGCAGATTTACACAGTATGATGTGTATGTGATATGTTATTTAGGCAGGTTTACACTGTATGATATGTATGTGATGTGGTATTTTAGGCAGGTTTACACAGTATGGTGTGTATGTGATATGGTATTTAGGCAGGTTTACACTGTATGATATGTATGTGATATGGAATTTTAGGCAGGTTTACACAGTATGATGTGTATGTGATATGGTATTTAGGCAGGTTTACACTGTATGATATGTATGTGATATGGTATTTTAGGCAGGTTTACAGTGTATGATGTGTATGTGATATGGTATTTTAGGCAGGTTTACACAGGTTTACACAGTATGATGTGTATGTGATATGGTATTTTAGGCAGGTTTACAGTGTATGATGTGTATGTGATATGGTATTTGAGGCAGTGTCTGTCCCTCTGTCCACACTTTTTTTTTCGCAAGATAACTTGCTTAAATATGGTTCAAATTCGATGAAACTTGACAGTTGTTGTTTTACAACACCATTCCATGTATGTGATATGTATATATATAGTATTTCAAGTAATCACAATAGCAACATAATGGTGTCGCAGTGTAGTTTCACAAATGTACAACATGTAATACATGTACTATGAATCACAAGATCAACAGACATCTCTAATCGTGTGAAAAAAAGCCTGACAACATTGTTTTGTCTTTCCAGGGCCTGTTGTACACAGTGATAAAGAAGATGAAGTATGACGAGTCCTACAACTTTGAACACGAGGTTAGTAAGATCTTATTGTGTTGTAGTTGGAACATGAAGTACTGGAAAGTTAGATCTATAAGGTAGTTCAAACACGAGGGAAGCTAGATCTGTTTAGTTTTAGTTTGAAAATATCATTATTAAGATCATGTTGAGTTGTAGTTTTAACACATGGTGATGAAGGTCTAATTTTGTTGTTGTTTGAACATGAGGTAACTTGTTCATGGATATTACCAGAGATGTAATCGATCAAATCTTGGCTCCTTTAACCAAAACCATGCTTATCCTAGCCTTCTTGCTCATCCTAGATCACACCAAATCACTGAGATTGAAAATCTCATACTACAGTATATACATGTATTGTCTTGATTTTCTACCGTTACACAGGGAGAGGAAGAAGCCATGTTTCAGGAGTACAGGAAACAGCTGAAGACAACCTTCAACAATCTGGCTGCATTAGTAAGTATATATCATCTTTGTTTATTATGGGAAAACCTCACAATGTCACATAGAATCGCAGGCACCCTATATTCTTATCCTTGTGTATTCTTCTGTGAATTTAATCTTTAGTATAATAATAAAAAGTTAGGAAATTTAATTTTTATCAAAGTGATATTAATCGGAAAAAAATAAACAATTTTGTAATAATGTTTATCCTTGCACAGTCTGTAGAAAATGAGAAAAGCACTAAGTGATGCTTAAACTTGTGAGAGAAGTGATTTTACAATGTTTCAGAAAACATCTGCCCTTTTTTTTTGTATTTGGCTTGACCTGCAGAAAGGTGTATTTGTAGCCCTGGTTTAGAAAAAGAATTAAACAACATTTGTTTGTAAAAAGAATTAAACAACATTTGTTTGTAAAAAGAATTAAACAACATTTGTTTGTTTAAAGGACAGTGACCTGGTTCTGCTGACGGTACATACATATGTGACCCAGACGCTGCCTCAGTGGGAGGAACGTGACGTGTGTGACATTGAGATTGCGATCCTCCTCCTGTACACACTGGGGGAGGCCCTGCCTGTAAGTATGGCCACAGTAAGTAAAGCTGTGTGCTCTTAGATGTGAAACATTCTTTATCCAGGCACCAACACATCTTTCGAGGGGAGGGGTTCCAAACAAATGATGTATTTCTATTATTAAAGGCAGTATTTGTTTGCATGATTTTATTTCATTGTTTCAATTTGTGTATCATATATCTACTTAATATTTGACTATTCATATATTATTAAAAAAAAAAAAAAATCTACATTAAATTTACAGCAGAATTACCCAAATGCAGAGTAGTTGTATTTTTATATATTAAGCAAATTGGGCATTACGAAAGCATGTTCTTCTTTAATAAAATGTGAACACTGTATGATGTGTTAATTAAAATGCTTTTTTGTTTTTACTAAAGGCTACACAGGGACAACATTTCAGTGGGGAATCCAACAAGGTGACCGCCCTACAGGAAATGATGAGACTGGTAAGTACTTTTAATTCAAATTGAATGCAGATTGATCTGGCCCTTTGAACAAAGAATATGTATCTGTTATTGGTCCTTTTATGAAGTCCGTCCTATCCTGACGGACAACCACATGGTATCTGATCAGATGTCATCATATCCAAAAGAAAATTATTAAAAAAATGTTGTTGTTTTTTCGTAGAATGATCCAGTATGTGATATATTTTAGCAGGCTAAAGAGATATTTCTCTTCAAAAATCTCAATAAGTCATACTGTAAAAGTACGTTTTTTAGTGGACTCAGATTTTAACATATGCTCAAGTATCAGCATTGATGAACTGGCGCAATCTGAATCACAATATGTACAATAGGAAAAATGATATACAGGAACTTCAATAAGCACAGTCGTAATTAGTGCAAAATTAAAAGTGTGAAAAGTGCTAAGATTAGAATACCCCTAAATATGTTTGCTTACAGTATATGACCCTATGTGTCAATCCAACAATACCTGCCCACAGTTTTAACTGTTATGAGCCAAGGATTTCTGTCCTCACTATCATATAGCCCTAATTTATTATGTTCCAGTTGGTAACCAGCAGAGTCAGCTGTCAGGGACACACAGCTGTGGTTCTCCAGTTTTTTGAGACGGTTGTGCGATATGACAAATTCTTCAACTGTGAACCTCAGCACATTCCAGACACTGTGGTAAGCTAATAGAAGCATATAGGAATAAAATATTGCCAAAAAGGCCACCAGACCAGTGAAATATAATGAATAAAGCAGTTGCAAAAAGCTTTTTGCTGAAATATATTTACATTTCATTTGTGACCATGCATGTTGTTGCAAAAAAATTGACCAATGAACGTCCTTTTCAAACCGGTACATGAAACACATTATGTATGTCTGCTCTTTGTTGTCAGATGGCCTTCACCGATGAGCGAGGGTTTCGCCACCCCTCATCACAAGTCAGGAGCCGGACATCCTATCTCTTCTCCAGATTTGTCAAGTCACTCAGGTACAATTGGCTGGAATATTTAAACATGGTTTGAATGGAATATTGGATATTATAACCATCAACAATGACAACCAGGAAATCTCTTATATATTTCTTTGTGAATTTTAATATGGCCATGTCTCTCTTGCTAAATATGGCCATGTCAGTCTTGCTAATTCAGTGATTTCGGTTTGATTTAGAGTTAAGAGTTATTTTCCATTACAAGAACTCTATAGGTCCTCTCCGCTGGACTCGATCGTTATATCATACTGAACTTGAAGTCCGCTTTCAGTCGGTGCTCTAAAGTTATATATTTCCTTATTTTTCCAGCATTTATCTAGCCTATTCTTAAATGAATTTAAGGATTGGACGTTTACCACCTCCAATGGTAAATTATTCCAAATGTTCACCACTCTGATTGTAAAATAGTTCTTTCTGTTAGATATTAAAGCTTGTTGTGGGTATATCTTACACGAGTGGCTTCTGGTGCTGTTTCTTTCTGTTACATTGTTCCACATTATGATAAACATACATGTCTCCCTGTCGTATATTCCCTGGGTTATCTTGAATGTTTCAACCATATCCGTGCAGTGTCGTCTATATGCTTGCGTAGGTAATTTCAACTTTTTTTGTCTTTCTAGGTAGGATAGTTTTTTTATATATTTTTTTTTTTTATCATTTGAATACTGATTTGGTGTTCTTTGTCAGCAGATCACACATGCAGCCATTCCTGGAGGACATTCTGAAGCGTATCCAGGGTCTACTGGTGATTAACACCCCTGACAACGGTTACCAACAGCTGATGTCTGGGGAGGACCAGCTCTTCCTTTACGAGACCGCTGGGAGTCTAATCGTCAACAGCTCCCTGCCAGCGGAGGTACGCACCTACACTGGAACCTACTGTCCTACTTTCGCTCCTCAATTTTGAAATATGAATATTAACTAGGAGAGGTTATACCAGGTCAGCCAACAGACATTAAACAAGGGTGAAAATGTACTGAAAATAGTTTAAATCTCTTATTCAGTAATATACATACTGTAGACCATCACATTTTTGCCTGTCTAAAATTTCCAACTTTTGGCCTTTAGTATACCCAGTGTAGATTTAAACCACATTAAGTTACCAGTACTTCTATATTATGTTTCACCTGTATTTAATTAAACTACTAGTTCTTACTTGGGTTTTGTTTGGTCTAGTATTGTTTAACGTCCTATCAACAGCTATGGTCATTTAAGGACAGCCTCCCCTGTGCGCAAGATGCATACGTGTAGTGTATGCATGTGTGTTTTGGGAGGCTGTGATATGTACGTGTTTGTCTCCTTGTGATAGCGCGAAACTGATGCCGACTTTATAGTGCTACCTCACTGAAACATACTGCCGAGGACACCCCACCCGGTCACATTATACTTACTAGTGCTTACAGCTGGACTGTTAATTGTGTACAGTAGAATGTTAATTATCCTAATCCCAGTTATGCTTGTCAAACATTTAAATTTAACAACTGCTCATCTTATGCTCAATTCATGTGTCTCCTTTTGTGTAAAGATAATAGGCTCTCTACTGTACTGACAAAATGGAGGCACAAATTTATAACATTTTTACCATAAATAGTGTAAGGAGTCTGTTTGGAATTAATCTATCGAGGAAATATCTTTTTTGATGCTTTTAAACATCAATTATTTCATTTTGCAAATTTAAAGAAGTTGTTTAAAGTACAATCCAGAAAGTATTTATTTGTCAGTTTAAATTAACTGTATTCTAGTCTGTCTGGTTTGTGTTTTAATTTTGGTTTCCAATAAAATTTAATTGCAGAAAAAGCAGGAGTTGATGAAGCAACTCCTTTCACCAATCGCCACCAAATTTGAAGGGTTGCTTGCGAAGCTTGAAGCAGAAACAGATGAGCGTAAAAAACTGGCCTACGCTCACAGCATCAACACAGCAACAGCTCTTGCTAGGTAAGAGGTACAGGGATTGGCACCATATGGGTGGCGTGGTAATGCAAGTTTTAAGACAAATCCATCTTAACTACATATATTTTACAGCAATTACGAAACAAGTCATAATCTTACACTAATGACTCTTTGTGGCCTACAGTTTAATGCTTTGCACAGTGTCAGAAATCTCTCAACAAGAGCCCCCTACCATCCTGAATGCTTGATATCAGAATACAGCTGATCATCAAATTTTTCTGTAAATAAGGGGCTTTCTTCAAATAAATAGGAGGGGCACTTTGTGATCTCCATCCCCTTAACTATATTCCTGGACCTGTTAGAGGAATGCTGAATATTTTAGACCCATATGGTCAGGTCTAAGTGTCGCTGTTTATAAATATGACCTGTTTTGTGATTTAAATTAGATTCAGTTGTGGTATACCTGTAAACATAGATTTAATAGTGCTATCGTAACTTCTGATTTCAGCCGTGTAAGCAAGGGCTTCTCCAACTCTCAGACAATGCAGTTGTGTGGCTGCTCGGATACATTCACCCACTTGCTTCGCATCTTCCTGCAGGCCCTGAACGCACCTACACACCGTCAACAGATTCAGACTGGTGTCCGTCAGTATCTCCATCGCATGGTCGTCTGCATGGAGAAGGAAATCTTACCTTTCGTACCCATTGTTATGGAGAATTTACTGAAGAAACCTGATGCCAAAGAACTTCATGATTTCATTCCTCTCATGAACCAGCTGATCATGAAATTTAAGGTACATATTATTCATTAGATAGATATAAACAAACAAAGCTTTATTTACAACAATTATGAAACAAGTTTTTTGAACTTATGTTGATCACTCTGGTTTGTTTGGACAGAATCATGGAGAGGGTTTTAAGGGAGGAGGAGACAGGAATAACCAGAGAAACACATGTGATCTTGTAGACGATCTAGCACCTTTTCACGTCTGTTCGGGGAATCAAACCTTGGCCATCTTTCTGAAAGACCATGTGCTATGCCACTTGACCACATATAACTCAATAGGTTTTCTATATTGGCAGGGCAATGAATTCAAAGCAATACACATTTGATGAAAACTATATTAAAAGATTACTTTCTGACCACTTATTTAGTTTTGTTGGTGTACTTAGTAAACCGTTGTGACTGACCACATGTCTATACTAGTATATCTAATCCTGTCTTATATTGATTCCTAACAATAAACTCGGTGACAAAATGTTTACACTATATGACGATGGTGAACTGTCCAATGAGACCAGAGTAGGTGTTGTTTTGTAAGGAAATACAGGCTACATGATTGTTTTTTTTACAGAGGGACATTGGCCCGTTCCTACAGAAAGTATTCATGCCTCTGGTACAGGCAATCTACCACGCACTGACCATACCCGCTGACGCTCTCGACCAGGAGACTGCTGAGGAAAGGAAGATGTTACGCCGAAGCTACTTCCTGTTCCTATCCACATTGATTTCAAACAACAGTGTTGATGTACTAGGAAATCAAGGTGAGGAAAGAAATTGAGCTTTTAACTCATTTACCCCTGAAATTTCATAATGAACTATTCCAAACTTTGAATTGGAAGAGTTCAAATGAGTCTTTAGGGGTGAATGAGTTTATTAAGAATTCATTTAGATCTCAGCAAGTTGATAGGAAGTTGGGGTGGGGTTAAAATAGTAAACTAGTTACATCAGAAGAACTTTTGTCGGATCAAAGTTACTGTTTGCCAAACTTCACATTTTTATTTTTTTACGAAAACAAGTTTCGTATGATTTCAGATGTGCAGAATTTACATGATGTATTGGTGACCATTGTCCAGGGAGCTGTTGATCTGCCTGACCCACTGGTAAGTCCAGCCATTGTCACACTGTATTGTAAAGGTTGGAGGTCTTTAATAGTTGAAAAATGACATTACAATCCATCATGACGTTATGCTTCAAACAAGTTACATTATGTCGTGATGTGATGAGATTTCTTCCTCGTTGGAAAATGAAATATGTAAAATATTGCCTCCCTGACAAACTATGACGTCCTTGTAAAAATAGATTGTGCAACACATGATAGTTGGTTATCATTCTTATCTAAGAAGTGTTTACTAGTTTTAATTTGTAAAGGGACACTCTCACAACCAATCTTTGTTTGGACACCTCTATATAAAAAAACATATTTTGTAGTCAAATGTTTGTTACCTTTAAATAAAATTAAAAATAGACAATATCGGATGTTATAATTTATCTGCCAGTGTATATTTGTGTATGCTGGGAAGAAGTTCAAGAACTCTGAGATTTCAAATACTGAGCTTGAATATTTTTACAGAAAAGTATAACATTAATTTGTTCTGTTTCAGAGCCAGAAAATGTGTTTCGGCATATTGAGGAAGTTAGTGGAATGCTGGGGTAAGCATCCTTAAACATATCTTGCTAATTTATCACTCTGCTCTTTCATTAGAAGCATTTTAGATATATTTCACAGAATTCATGTTGATGTACGTATCTGTTGACTGGAAAACCAGGATACAAATTAAGAATGACTCCAAATTTCTCTTGTCATGTTTACATGCTCAATTTCTCCTAGTTGTGATAGTCAAATGTTTTTCGTGTTCACATTGTAGGAGGCCAGGACACTAGTATCCCAGGGTTCCTCGAGTTTATCTACGATAGCATTTTACCTGCATGTTTTATGGCACCACTCAAGCCGACCTTTGACCTTAACGATGGCCAAACATCACTGGTAGGTCTTAAAAGATTTATTTTCTGTTGAAGAGTATGATACATTGGCATACATTATTATATGGAACTGACTGTGTTGTACACTGACAATATAAATGTTCTGTTGAATTATGTCCATGCTTGAGTCTATTTTAAATATGTTCAAAACATTTTATAACAAAAATGACATGTGCTTTTAACCTTCGGGAAGATAGGAAGTCTATCATTTAAATATATAGATTAAACGTTACTGATTGTCTCTCGTTATTCTGCAGGCTCTTGGTGAATGTGCACATTGTCTCAAATCCATCTCCGAAAAGAGGGTAAGTACGGAACAGGTCTATTTTCATCATGTGCACAGGATTCGTAGTTAATCTGTGTTATATCACACTTGTATAAATTCATAGCAGAGCCTGTTATTTACACACATGCATTAAAAATATGTTATCCTAAATGTGATCCAGTCAGGTCCCTCAGTGCAGTATGTACTGGTAATATAATGAAGTGGAATCATTGCGATTTTTTAAAAGTTTGGTTCTGGACTGGACAACATTACTACTAATGTGACTGTGTTAAAATTGTACTCCGGGTCCCTATTCATGAAACCATGCTCATGGATTTTGTGCTCAAACAATATTTCTTGAAATTCGCCTAGTTCTTTTGTCACAGAAAAAAGTCAAGTTGAAAATTTAAAATGTTATATGGCTTTAGATCTCTCCAAAATTCTTCCAAATTATTGAGAATAATTTATGACCAAAATAAAAAATTGGGCTTGAGCACACAATCTGAGTTTGAGCATGAGAACAGTTTCATGAATACGGCCCCCGGTTATGTTGTGAAAGAAATACCAATATTCATTGTAATTTTGTGTGTTTTCAGGGAGAGGAATGTTTTAGTTATTTACAACGAGAGTATTTACCCAAACATCAGATGTCTCCAGAACAGACACAGGTAAAACAACAAAGTTACAATTCTTTATCAACTTTTGAGCTTTACAGTCCAGAACTTTGAACAAATATCACGTAATCAAACTTTTTCTCCCTGATTTTAAACGTAGCACCATCATAATGAGTATGTCAACAAGTTGTAACCCACATTTCCCTCTATCACGCTAATCATGCTCAAATCTTAAAATTTAATATCACAAAAAAATGTTTTGTATGTTTACAGTCTATATGAAATTCATCCGTGTCTGTTTTCTTTCACAGGAGTTTTGTCAAGCATTACAATCAGAAAGCAAGTTATTTAGGGCATTTTTTAAGGTAAGAAAACAATGTGTCATTTATCTGAGTACAGTTCTATATGGTTATTTTAATGAATTACTGTTACACCTTTTAACATAATTTGAAAGCGTAAAACCTAACTCGGTAAGGATTAATCCCTGACCCGTTGAAGAAACCTGAAGGACTGAATCTTAATGGATGTTATGCTAATGATAAGTATATGAATCAGAGTATGGTTTTATCAGATTTCTAAGATATGTTATATTCAGTAATATTTGTGTTAACAGAACTTTAATAACTGTAAAATGTGGCCTGCTGCTGATTGTTTGATTTTGCGATGCCTACCATGGTAACAAATCTCAGGTATAGTTAACAACAAAAATTTACATCAATTAAAATAATCAAAAGAAAAGCTGGTATAGAATTTTATCATTTCAATGTACATGCAATATCATATAGAAAATTCTAATCTCACTCAGAACGCATGGCCTTGGCATAGGGCGATTGTGTTCATAATAGTCTGTTTTTAATAAGACTGTCTTTATTCTTTACAGTCATTTTTCCTGAAGGCAAAGTCATGACCAATGCTAAAAACCAATTGTGGACTGACATTAAATACCAGACAAAGATGGCTGACACATGAGCCCTCAGATGCTGGTTACTAAGCAACAAGACTGTGATACTTTGTGTGTTATTTTTGTCCGTTACGTGTAGCGGTCCGCTCCACAGAGTTGTGTTCACCCGGTTTATCATGGATTGAGCTGGCCAACCCTGAAGTCACAGATGAGACGGCCAAGACGGTCCGTCATAATTGTGGTCTTTTATATGTTTGACAGCTTGCAATATTCCCAGATGTGTTCCATGCTTTTTAAAAGCTTGATTTTTACACTCCAGCACGATTAATGTGTAGCTGCTTGATCTGTTTGTGTTTTAATTGGGTCAGACAAAGGCTTGAATTTCATGTCTCAACAGTAGCAGGGTCCAATAAAAGCTTGCTGTACTGGAAGGTACAGTTACACCCTAAAGCACTGTGAAGATACTGATGCACATGTGTTGTTTTGATCTTAATCCATACAAAACAATTCTGTTCTACAAGACAGAATTTTAATACTTAAAAAAGGAAATTAAAATGCTGATCTACAAATGATTGGACGAGCTTATACTCCTAACGAGACGTGTGATGTTGGGGATGTATTATAAAACCCTGATGTTGGTCAAAAAAGCTGGTCGTTCCTGATTGGTTGTGTCTGTTGCTACAGTTATTGCTGTAGAGAACTAACCAAAGAGTTTCTTCACTTTTGGATTGCAATCTGCATGAATGGAACACTGTTGCTTTTATGAAATTTACTTTTATCACTTCCATATTTACTTTTTTTAAATATTCTCATTTAATGATAATTAAATCAACACTCCAAAAAAGGAAATTTTCACTCATCTAAAATTGTGAAACCTTCAAACGTGTCATTTTTGAAAAAATTGTGATTGATTTTCAGAAACATCAAGCAATGTAACATCATTGTTACTGAATTAATTTCACGAGTTCTGTTTTACAAACAAATGAAATATGTTGATTGTAAATAGAGGATACAGTTTTAAGTTAAAGCAATATGTACATGTATAGATATTTATCATTCCAATGAGGATATTTACAACCAAGCATAGGGCGTTAAAACTTTTTGGAATTAAATTGCATTTATAGGTAACTTCTTGTTTCATGAAATGTCGAGTGATTTTTTACCATGATGTATTTAGCTTAACACTGTACAACTGTCAAAATGTCCATTATGTTTGTTGGGTTGTCACAAACAGTGGAAATATATAAACTACATAGTGGTATGGTTTGCAAGTAGCCACTTCGGATAAAAATTCTGTTGCATAAACCCATAACCAGTCGACGGATATGACAAACAATGGTGCAGGGTCTGGATTGTTTCCCACATGATGGATACTCAAGGAATTCGATGACATTACAAATATAAGTGGAATTCCTAAAAAGAATACTAGTATTTGTATATATACTGAGTACAAATGTTTATGTTGGTAAGATTGTAGTGTATACTGTGAATTTTCGGAATGTTTTCAGTGCCTCTAGTCTTTTTTATGTAAATCAAATTAATAACAAATGAAGTGCTCAGTCCTCTATATAAAACAGTGTTGGTGCATAATGTAACTGTTGAGTGTCTGATTAATGTATGGAAGATGGAGGAAATGACGAGTATAGGGTTACAGAGGAACTGATGACTCCCCAGTGAAGTAGTTTTATTTCAGTGGATCTACAGACAGTAGTTTTGCAGGAGGCACTCCAGTGTTCAGGAGAACCAGCGGTGTGTTCTGTTAAAGAACAATGTTAGGTCATGTTTCCGTACTTCACTCGAACAAATCAATATCTAATGATATGTTATTTTGAAAATAGAAAATTTGACTTTATAAATTTGTTTGACAATTTATAAAGATAATATACTTGTCTATAGTACTACTTGTAGTAAACAAAGTATGTATACTGTTAAAGTACATTTTTTAGTGGTATCCTAATTTTAGAGCTTTTTCGTGCTTTAAATATTGTGCTAAATTATGACTGGACTTATTTAAGTTTCTGTATATAGTATATATAAATGGATAATAATTAATTTTGAACCGCTTTTAGACAACCTAGGATCTAGGTTGTGATAAAGCAGTTTATACGAACCTCAAATTATTATTATTATTTTAGTTTCCTATTACATATCGTGTTGGTGCATCAAACTATGAATTCGCTATCTCTAAAACTTTGCTAAAATTCGAGGCTGCTCCAATAGGTACTTCTGCAGTACTCGTACTGGATCATAAAACCCTGAAAATTCTACGATGTTTCAAAAAATGTTTTTACTGCATACACCCTTAAGTTTTTAGTTTTCATGTTTTACTTGTGTTCACATAGCAGGGAGAGAACTCTCTTTGTACATTCTTTTGTTGAGTTAATATATCAGGTTTTTGTTGATTAACCTATGAACCTGCAGGCTAAATATCATCCATTTCAATTTGTTTTTCTTCACGGTTATGTCAAGGTTTGACTTCGTGTATATGATATTTAGTTGATATTTTGTATTTATGCCATATTTGCAATCTCGACTTGTGATGAACATATATCTTTAAATCTAAATTTGTTAAAATGGTTTGATCATTTAAAGGGTTAACATCCTTGTTCAATATTTCTCTAAACGATCAATTTCACAAGGATGTATTACTAGTGCAACAAAATTGACCAATTTTTATCAAAATGGAAACAATACTAAGTTTGACCAATTTTCATAACAGAATTCTGTAAGGCACTTTCACCTTCAAATGTCTTGCTGTCTGATAACAATTGGCAAGTGAAACAAAGTTTTGTGTCAAATTATAAGATCTACAATGGAGATGTGTGGTAGAAGTCACTTATGAATGAAATGCTTAGTACTATAACCATATTATGAATGATATTAGGGATTTACCTAATCTCTTTTAACTTCCCTGACCTTTATACCTTGGACCTTTGAGCATTTAGTCAGATCCTTTTTATTATGAATGAAGACGAGAAGTCATGAGAGTATAAGATAAATGTTTATTAATGAATGAAATGGCTATGAAATGTCTGCATGAATGAGCTAATATATAAGTAATGAATATGAAAAAATGTGTCTGTTTCTAGGAGTACAGTAAATGTAGCTGTTTCTAGGGTATAATGAAAAAGATAATTGAGAGTTGAGTAGGAAACACTAGTGAGCTGTTAATGAATTGTTAGTTGTTAGAGAACTATGTCAGTTGTTAATTGGTTGTGTCGGGGGGTGAACCTTCTACCTTAGATGCACCACTTGTTGATATTTGTTTCATATATTATGTAAAACTTTAAAAGGTGTATTTTTACAAGATATTGTGGGTAATATAAGCTAGCTATGTTCATTATACACCATAATATTAAGATTTAATGTGGAATAGTTGTATCATCTTAGATACTGCCTACTGTTGTAAAAGAGTGAAGTTAATGTCAAGGGGTTTCTCAATTTTGTAGAAGCTTCCATTTAAACACATGAGATTCATATTGTTGGTCCAGACGTCACTTTTCATAGTAAATCTCAGCAGACCTGGATCACTGAAATTGTAGAAAGTATTTGTAGTAGCTATGTGCGGAGTGAGTGGCAAGACAGTATATCTCTTCTTTCAGTTCCTACCTCCTCGAATGGAGAGTTGCAAGTGTTCCATGTCAAAGTCCACCAAGGGCCTGTTCGTTTGTGCGGAACAACCGGTTTGTCCATTTTTAAATGTAACAATTTCGCGTATAAATCCTGGTGGACCTGCAAATGTTAATGCAGGCCTTGCAAGGCTTTCTCAAGGCTCGCCTGAAAGCAGCATCAGATTACTAGGTCCGACCTTATTTAATAAACGCACAACTGTGGTCTGACCGGTTCAACTGTTTAAAACGAAAACGGCCCTAGAATTAATACCAGATGGTCAATGGTCTTCTGACCTATAGAGTTGCTTCCCTTACCAAACTTGTGATAATCTGCAACACAGAAAAATCAGATTTTGTAAACCCAAATTGTATTGAAGAATTAAAAAGTTAACTGTAAATCTGCTGGTCTCCCTTTGATGTTGGCGTATTTGATTAGTTTGTATTTCAAACAAAAATTAAACTTTATAGATCATCAATATTAAGTTGTGCCATACATTAATGATATCTGTATGAATGTATTGATACAGTATCCAGCTAATGAGCCCATATACACACTAAAAACAGATGAATAGTGCTTGTATAAATATGCCTTAGATTATGTGTCATTTACCTCATTCATTTAAAAAAATGTTTTACGGATATACCGCCTTATACCATTAAACCATTACATGTTAATTATAATAGAGTTATGTCGTTTATAATCCTTTAATTATCCTTATTTCAGAACAAAACAAAAACAAACAAAACTCTTTTGTCCAAAAATAATGCTTTATATGCCAAAGAACTGATTACTACAGGTCTTTATTTCTTAAGGCTTTCTTCATGTGAAACATTCTTGAAAAGATATGGATGTAAAAGTAAGGTTTAATTCATGCATAATTCATCTGTAACATTTAAGGTACACAATTGCGAGAAGTAACTTTTTGGGGATTTTTTTAAAGCACACTCTGTTTTTTTGTAGGTGTATGTTGTGCTTATTATTAGGTCGAATACAATTATATATTTTCATGAGAATTTAAGAAAATGAAATTATGATATGTATAATGATGATGGCATTCAAAACATTGTAATTTAATATGCAATGTAACAATGAAATGGTTTATATATATACAGTGCTTTTTGGTGCTCCGTGTGAAATTCCCACCAAGTTCTCGGTGTTAGTTGAATGTCTGTGCATGAACCTCATTATTTTGGTCAGTATTAGATTTGTTGATATTGTTGTTGAATAATTATGGTCCTAACTCAGTGATAAAAATAAACTAAAAAATTATTTCAATGTTGAGTAGTTAACTATTGATATGTTACTAAAAAGTATTAGATATACCATACTGTAATTTAAGTCATTTATCATATTCTTCCATTTCATTTAGCAAATAAATATGCGATTAAAATTTTGTTTTTTAAATTCAAATTTTCGAATATTATTTTTCAAATTGAAAAGACAATAGAGGCATTGGCCCACGTGATTTAAGTATTACATTGAGTGCTGTATTAATTGGTACCTCGATGGCTATGACTGCAGGACAGAGAAATCTGAAGTCTCATGACGGGTAATAACCACCACTAATGTCATAGAGACAGCAGTATATCACTGAACATAAAATGTTAGTGAATATACTCCAGCTTGTATTGTAGCAGCTTATTTTCGTAAATTCAAACATAGTTAATATTTGCCAAAAACATTAGTTATATTCCGACATCTTTCAACCTGCCTTGTACCAAACTCTATGATGTTCTAATTAGCTGTGAAGGGTTATAAACAATAGATCTTTTACAACTTTTACCTCACATACATTTGTGTTTGTTCCATTCAATGAAACAGTTTATTGACTAGTCATTATCATAAAAGTACTATTGAAGATATCCAGTATGCGGTTATTACCAGTAGATTCATTTTTTGGTAGGCAGTATTAAATCAACTTCTCGTCAGACACTACCATCATTGATTTCCACCAAAGCTTCTTTTTTCATCATAGCTAACATGTACCAGATGTGTTATTGTATGACACATGTTCTCCCAAAATTGAAATAAGAAAATAAATTTCTCACAAAATTGGCCATGGTATCCTCAAATTCTGTGTTTCCTAAAATGGCTACTATTCCCATTTCTTTGAAATATCAAAAACGTGCATTATATAGACATGTACCTTGGGAATCTTTAAAAAAGGTACAATGTATGTATCTTGGGAACATTTGATGCAGATTTGTACCTGGGGAATCCTCAACTAGAGTTTATACCTGGGCAATCCTCAACTAGAGTTTGTACCTGGGCAATCCTCAACTCAAGTTTGTACCTGGGGATCCTCAATTAGAGTTTGTACCTGGGCAATCCTCAACTGGAGTTTGTACCTGGGCAACCCTCAACTAGAGTTTATACCTGGGCAATCCTCAACTAGAGTTTATACCTGGGCAATCCTCAACTAGAGTACTTGTAACTGGGCAATCCTTATCTAGAGTTTATATCTGGGCAATCCTCAACTTGAGTTTGTACCTGGGCAATCCTCAACTAGAGTTTGTACCTGGGCAATCCTCAACTTTAGTCTTCAGTTAGCTGCACTTCAATGAACATTGTACCAAAATTTTAATGCGCATGTTTATTCCACAATGTCAAAAATTATGTCACAACCATATTTAACAAATAAATTACCTTAAATAGGAATTTAGTTATGTACATTGTATTTGTCAAAATGATACAATATTCATGTATCTTTCATGTACATTAAGAGGGCCTTGCTGATGGGGTTATCTGAGGGACCCCTACCATTTTCAGTGTACTGTATACCATTAACTTCTGGTTTTATAGGATTCCCTCCAATATCAGTACATGTACTTCCTTCCAAAAAAAATATCAGATCTTTAGGATATGCAGTTTTTCTTGTTGAATACCATGTATTTTGGTTGTTGAAGTATTGTGAACCAATTTTCATGACAAAATAGAATTTTTCCATCATGACATGAGACACAATTCATATTCTGTAGGACAAAATAATTTATTTGTTGCTGTGGTAAAAGGTATTTGTTCATAAAATGGGTTTTTTAATGTTATATTTAGATGCAGCAAACAATGCAAACACTCCTCATTTTACAGGTTTCGATTCAACCAGATCGCCAGTCTCCATTTCGTGGACAACACCATCACCATTTTAGTTAGAAAAATGCAATTTTTCACCCCTTGAAATCCTTCAAATTGATGGAATCCTATATCTCTGCAGAAAATAACATTTTTGCACAATGTGATTTCGAGTTTTACATGTAGTGAAGAATGTTATTTTTTGGGAGTATTTAACTGTATTTCCCCATTTTTGAAAGTGCATGCAAAATAACTTGAGATTTTTCGCAATTCTTACCCGATTTGAATAGCTCATTCTCTGCAAACCTGAACACAAATCATATTTAAAAAGAATCATCTACTATTAGATTGTATGGTAAATGATGTTGACAAGTATTTGTAGGACATTGAAGAATATCTTCATGTTGATTGAAAGTAGAGTTTGTTAGCTTTTCTTGGTCAATTGAACAAGTTGTTAGAATTGTGAAGATTGGTCAGATCTGCCAAAATTTCAGGAACCTCTTGAAACTGAAGGTAGTTTAATGCAATTAGGAGTGCTTTAAGTTGCATTGGTACCCTTTATTGAGAATATATCCTAATCCAATACAAGCTTCAGTTAGCAAATATATATATCATGTTATGGATGTTCTACTGTAATTCTACTTGTTGGGACAAAAGTCATTTCTATTCATATTTAAATGATGAACATGAAATAAACTATTTATTTTCCAACATCTTGGTTTTGTTTGAATTGTGTATGTAAAGACGTGTACAGATGGAAAACTTTCTGTAAAGTGCAGGTTTGTTGTTGGCTGACAAGAACTACACTAATTTTACTTTAGGCCTTTTACTATGACCTTGACTTTGGAATAGAGACCCATCAAGAGGCCCAGAATCCTGTATCGCTCACCTGAATATTTAAGCAGTCATAGCAAAATATTCTCATTAAATATTATATTGCACTACCAATATTTCCCTCGCAAACTTTGTCGGCTCCATCTGTTGAAACTACCAGCCAAATATTATTATAAGATTCTATGCTTTTTAGTTCTTCTTCAGAAGTTAATTGACATATTTTTCCCTGTGACCTTGTAAGTAGGTCAATGTCATTTTCCTTCTCATACTTTGTTAGCTCTATCCCAAAAAGCTACCAGCCAAATCTTATGAATTCATTCCTTTTGTTTCTTTTAAAGAACAAAACCTTTAAAAGGTTGTTGACCTCTCTAAGGTAGGTTGAGGTCATTTTCATTCGCAAACTTGGGTGAGCACTATCCCAGGAAACCACCAGCCAAATATTATAATTTTATGCCTTCGATTATTTACAAGAGGTCATTAGATGTTTTTGACATATTTGACACCTGTGACCTTGAAAGTAAATCAAGGTCATTTTCATTCTCAAACTATGTCAGGCTCCATCCCAGGAAGCCACCAGCCAAATATGAAGATTCTCCACCTTTTAGTTCTTCAGAAGAAGTCGTTTGAAGTTTTTGACATATTTGACCCCTGTGACCTTGAAAATAGGTCAAGGTCATTTTCATTCTCAAACTTTGTCAGGCTCCTACCAACGAAGCTTTCAGCAAATATCATGACTCTAGGCCTGTCCATTCTTCAGAAGAAGTTGAAAGGAAAATTTGACGGGCGACACGGGACGACGGAAGCTGCACCATGACATAAGCTCACTTGCCTGTCGGGCAGGTGAGCTAATAATGATACGCACCAGCCGGATACCTCTTCATGGAGTTATGTTACATGTAAACAAAATATGTTCTGTCCTTGACGTGGACAGACTTACTGATAGGCAGACAAAGTGAACACCGCTAGTTTGGCAGGTGTTCGAGGACTTATACATACTGTTTGAATTTGTTTTAAATTCAACTGTTAACCTTTGACCTTGAATGTGGATCAAGATCATTTACAGTGTAATATCCTTTCACCCCAACAAGCTGCTCTAGGCATCCTAGTCCTGTAAAGAAATTGTTTGAAGATTTCAACACTTATGACCATAAATGGTACAAGGTTAACATTCGTTATCACTATGGCACTCTACCCCAGCAAGCTGCAGGCTAAATATCGTTAACCTACAGATGTCATTTAAAGCATATCTGCCAATTTGACCCGGCTCCTCAGCCCCTCTATTTGTATAACTTTTTATCCCCATGGGGCCAAATCTGCTCAGTAATTTTGGAGGTGATGTTTTATGCAAAAGTTGACCAACAGCAGAAGGAAGACAGATAAAGCACCACAACATAAGCTTGCACTGATACTATGTACCAGGTGAGCCAGTCAATAATGGTCAGTCTGTGGAGATTTGAGTATCGCCAATCTTGTCATTGTCAATTTTAAAATTAAAAGGTTGTGATATTTTAATGTATTGTTATGAAACCAGCATGCAGGTGCAGGTAGATACCTTCCTCAGAATACTGACCAATGTATAGTTCAGCTCCAGCTAACACAATGTGAAACTGATTAACAAATGAGAGAAAGACAAAATCCCTGTTCGTGTAACTTTATTATAGGTTTCTGTACATATACAAAAATGTTCCAGGTCAAAATATTGACTCGCAGAATATGTACATTGATGGGTGATTTCTAGGACAAAAATTACGTTTGTCCTCAAAAGTAACGTCACTTTATATAGTATTTATGAATTTATTAAATGCACAACAACCTAGATATCCCTTGCGTATAATATAAACTTCACTTATTAGTACATCCTATTGTCTATGTAATATCACTGATACCATACTCAGTACACATCACAGTCTTTAACCAGTAGATGCTAAAATGTCGGTGAAATATGTACGTAAATTCAAAATTTTGGAGGTAAAAAATCCATATCTGTCACATGGAATTTTTTCTATATCTCCTTGTTTTGATTGTTAAAAAGCTGAAAGTTAATTTTCTTTGTTTCCAATCTTGGTTTGATTACAGATGTATTAAATCTGACAAGCCCATTGTCTCCATTTCCGTAAATAAACACTTTCCCCGACTAAAATTTCCATTATTGAGTGACATCAAATTGTAAATACTTAAGTCCTAAATATTAATTTTCAATATGCTATCCACATGTGGACTGTAAAAGATATTCCACAATTGAAATGTTACTTAAAGCTACAAAAGTGCATTCAATACATGCATAAATAAAATTGGTATACATATTTAAATATGATGGAAAATGTATTCTTAAATTAAGTATGACAAGAGATGATATTTATGAGTGAAAATGAGCATCATCTAATGTGTACAAGTAGCTACGTATACACTATCATACAAAAAATTGTATGATTTGGAAACAACTTCCACTGAAAAACAAATCTTACTGTTTCTTTAATAACGGTAATATCCTCGGCCAGATAGAACCTAATGGTAACAAACAGTTCTTTACATAATACAACATTTTATGTACATTGTTACTAGGTATGTACAGGATGTATAAAAATAGTGTTAAAAAGACGAATATGTGTGCTATACATTTATACAGTGAAAACAAGTACATCTACAATGTATACCATGCATAAAATTACATTTATTCAATGAATATGTGGCGATCACTTGCACAGCACTTTCATTTTCCCTATAAAATATTAAGTACCATTCACACCAGCTAATATACTTCAACACATGTATCCGGTAAAAACCTAGTATCTTTATACCTGTGATTCTACCAGATGGTTTAATTTAAACAGGGGTTAGAACACTTTATTGCTCTATAATTTACAAGTTTTAATTATTATTTTCTTATTTTTTTTATATATTCATCTCAATTCTCTGAGAAGTAATTATACTTAAACCTTTTGTACCTTTTACATAATAAAGAATTATTTCTGAAATCAAGAAGAAACTGTTTTTATTCTTTCTCTTTTTTTTCCATTCTAGAAGATTAACGAGGAAAAAAGTTTACTTGTATCTTCATGCAATTCAGTTATAAAAATGAGTGCTTAAATGTTAAGTATGGTATCCCTGCAGAACAGTTCACACAAATAGCCGTAACAAATTTAACGTCATTTTACAATAACAAAGAACACAACCAAAATTTCAAATAGGACCATACAAACGAAGATAAAATCATTTCTGGTTATAGTAAAAGATGTATAGCTCATGTATAGGTGGACAGATCAGCTGTGTGGACGCAATGATTCCATGTCATCATAAACAGGTACAACGTCATCATATCTAGTTTTACCTAAACACTAGTACTTCACTGTGGTATTCAGACGCCTGGTATCCCACAGGGGTATTTAGATACTGGTACTGGTAAATAATTGTACCCTGCAGACACTCATAGTTGATATGGTCAATATGTATACTTAGTTTTGAAAGTTATAGTCACCCAAAACTGTTGCTCCACTTCATAATATATGTAAGTCACTATCTTCAAAATTTGAAGAAACTGCAACTTTAGCTTGAAACAAAATCATTATCAATATGAAGTCATGTTATTCCAACAATTTGTGACTTTGAGGACAATATTAGCAATGAGTATTTTGTAAAAGAATTTTTAAGCAAAGCTAAAACTGTTTTTTTATTTCATCTCATAATTATTTCGAAAGGATGACATTAGTCATTTTCATTCAAAGTACAAGCCTGCAAGCAGATTTTGAAAAAAAATCATTACTTACCGGTAGTATGTTTTATAGTAAATACTGAATTTATTTTACTAGCCCTGATAAAAATATACTACCCCTAGCTGTGAGGCTAGTGGAAATGGACGCCTGTGCAATAATTAACTAGATAATTACCACTGGTTTTGGTTTGGTCTCAATTACTACTGTACTTACACCTTAAGCACTCCTTAGTTATCTCAAAGTCTCTATTCTAGACATGATATGATGAAAATATATTCTACTAAAATCTACACAGTCATAGCGGATATGTACACTGACAAGTATTTGGTATATACATGTACATACCATCACTAACACTACTGCGATGGTGGACCATGGCAAGAATCAGATTTTATCACAAAACCAGTGACAACGCAGTATCACCGACATCACAAGCGGCCAGACATCTTAAAAAATAACTTAACTGGCAGTATGTGTATTGTGGTCCTACACACTGAGAATCTAGCTACTAATCTTCACAACTAACTACCAAAACTTGATTGACCAAAACAAGTGAGTGATTTGTAGAACAACGCATCAATAATTTCAAAATATTGTAAGATCACAGACATTACATGTTTATTACACTCAACGCTCAACTACAAAACTCAAAAATCCTAAAATGTGTTTCATCTCCAAGTTGTGCAAGCGTGTGATTCTCTACAAGATAATCAGCTTTTCATCTACTGATGGATGGTGGTGTTATAATGTGACAATCTGCATGTAATGGCGATCGGTCTCCAACAACAATTTACAGACAAACTCTCTATGATCATCATCTCATAGTCATTATATAGATAACGCTTCCATTACAATAATGTCGCACATATAACTAAAATTAGTATCAATCTGTATGTTATATTTGTTTAGATTATCAGTTAGATGAATCAGTTAGATAAAACACATTCTAGAAATTTAACCTAAAAAGATACTAAATACTGGCTCTGCATCATCAATTTATATAATTATAACTTCATGTATACAAATATGATGGATCACATTTTCATTACAACCGTTGACAAAAAATAAAAATATCAATTGTTCTGTGAAAGACTTCTAGTTTCTCCATCTCTTGTTCATAGCCTAGCCTGGTCAAAGGGTTCTTGGCAACATGCGAAAGAATTTTTTTTAATAACAAATTAAATGTTAGAACTTTCAGACAGCGCAATGCATGTATGTACCACACATGTGTATTAAATTAACTAATATTAGACAATAACATTGTTCTATTTATTTTGTAGACCAGATTATGCAAAGTGTATTTAAATTTTGGGATGTTTTCAAAACTAAATATTCCATAGAATGACTTGATTATTTTATGACACGAGGCATATGAAAGAAGCATACTACAAATGAACTTTGTATTCAACAGTTAAGATACTTGGGTATTCAGTACTTATTACTGACAATAAATACATTTTTCTTATACTTTCTTTCTGATCAATTAATTTACCTTTAAGATTGTAGCCAATTTCAAGCAATACCCCAAGAGACATTTCTTGCATAGATCTATTTATGACAATGAAAAGGAAATAATTATTAATATAATCCAGATCAATACTACATAAAGGCAGATAGATTTTACACATATCACTAGGTATTTCATATGTAGTTTTTACTGTTTACTTTAAAAAAAATCTACAATAGTTACTGACAGACCTTTAGTGAAATAGCTTTGGACAGCTTTGTAAGTCTACAATAGTTACTGACAGACCTTTAGTGAAATAGCTTTGGACAGCTTTGTAAATCTACAATAGTTACTTTTTATCTCACCATCCAATAAAACCTTGACCATTTATAAAAAAAAGATATTGATATGTTAGTATAACACTTAACAAATGCATAGAGAAACCAACTTCTATCACAATAAGATTTTGCAAAATAAATATAACAACTTGTAAACTTCTAAACTGAATTTCTGCTATCCTAGGCTTAAGTGATTGAGCCCAGAATACTGTTACCTAAAAAGGAAAAGCAATAATTTGTTTTTTCTTTTCATATTAATGTCATGTCAGTCTGAAACTCAATTCAACAGAAGTAATATGTCGCTTTTTTTTATCAATTTTGTTGATTACATTCAGGTTTTTGAGACTTATGACAGACACACCTGTTGGACAACATGAGTCGGATCTACCTATGCTGAGCTTCAAAAATCATTCTGGTGCTGAAATAAGTTGATTAGAAATTAATAGATACACTCTTTTCATTTCAATCTACAACCATACCAAAATAAACTGGATATATGTATATAAATATATTACATATGATAATCTACAAGTGTGATATGTTTAAGAGTATATAGAAACAGTTTGTTGAAATGTATCACTAACCAATATATGCTATGCTCAACAATCTTTTTTTTCCACCACAATGTTAAACCAAGCTGCCAGGTACGACTAAGTGAACTAATATGACTGTTATTTCCACTCCGGTTCCCTAAACAGACAATTGTTTTGTCACTTACCAATTTGTGAACAATCCAAAACCATTATCATCAACCAAAACAATGAAGCATTGTGCTATGCAAGCTACACAAAAGATCAACCAAAATATGTTTAGTTACATTATAACAAAATTGCTTAGCTCTGTCACCTCACAATGTACCGATGAATCTTGTGTGACAATCTAACTTTATTAAAAAATGACTATTGTTTAACCTTTGAACTATCTTTTTTAAATGCATCCTCCTGATAAACTTAGCCACTTCCCTATAAATTAAATGAAGACAAAATAAGCAGAGCATCTTTTTCCAATTAAAACCTTAAAATACAATTAAACATATGTATCTGATCATCAAAAGTAATGTGGTAGTATTATTACATGTATTTAAGTAAACACGGTCACAAGAACCCATAGTTGAAGATGTTACATTCTGTTAAAGCTATTTCTAGTATACATGGTTTCCCACAAGTATCAAATTATGGGTAGATTAAATCTCTGATGTCCAGTTATAGACACCTACCTTTGCTAGCTCTTGAACAAAATTAAATTTTAGTCTTAAAAATTATACTTCATTAGTTAAAGAGACTTGTTTCAAACCTAATTAACCACAGTTGTGCATGCTACCAATAATATGTCCTGTTCTAGTTAAATGGTGCATTAATATTGTAAAGATATAACTTATTGTAACAAATCTTGTTAGTTTTTCTTAATTCTTAAAAATAAAATCTGCATTACCTCCCTTTGATTAGGTAATATTTTACTCAATGCACTATTACACAGTTGTAATCTTTCACAAATATATAATCCATTCTTATTAATCAATTCCATGTTCTTTAATGACCAGAGGTTTCTTATGACTTTCCTCTTTCTCTATTCAATCAAATTCTTCATAAGAATAGAACATCTCTCTCAGAGTCTCGGTTTCGCCTTCATAGACAATAAGTTCAAATCCACAGCCCTCGTCTTTCTTATATTCCTGTAAATCTGGGGATCCTTGTTCCCCTCATGTGTACTGAATGTGTAACTGATCTTCTGCTAGCAACAAAAGCCTGTTTTTCTTTGGAGTAAATATAAACATCCGGAGATCAAAGTGAAAGCTTGTATGGGGCCTTCCACTTTTAGCACATTTGGGCTATGTGCCACTCAATTCACATCAATGTTTCCTCTACGGCAGCTTCAGACTTAATCCAGCTACTCGTCACAGATTATCCAGTCAAGCCGTCACAGACTGCTTCTGTGCGAGAATTTTAAGCCAGCCATCAGGGACTTTACTCCCAGAAGATGGTGTAGGCCTTGACAATGCCTGGTTTCTATGACTGCGACTCCTCAGTAATTTTGGTACTGCTTTCCTCCTTGATAATTGTTGTAGAACATCTGCTCATCCCGTAGATCTAAATTTCTCCTCCCAAGGTAAGGTGAACTTTGACCTATTGGACCATTGGCCATCGGAACTCCCTGATTTGTATACCTACCAGCCATTGGGTTGTTGGGATCTGCAATGTAAAAATATATGTTATTGCAAGCACTGTTAAGTTGATTAGGTTATAGATTATATATGTTTATCTTAAAATTATCAACTGGCGCATTTTCCTAAATGTTCATTTCTGATTGATCAATAATGATGATGTAAAAATGATACGCACAATTGCATTATAGTCATGTATAAACAAACTTATAACAGTTAGTATATGAAAATTCTTTGTTTTTCATATGAAATTAAAAGGAATTACTTTTTTCTGCAAAGTGCACACAGACTGAATATGCAGCATCACCAGAATAAAGCCTTGGGTCATTCTTTCAGTATTCGGTATTACTGGCTGTGTATTACTGGTTTTTCTTACTTACTTTACAGATTAACTTCCTCAATGTACTAACCTAACCACTCTGAAATCTTATTTATAATACAAACATGACATAATAACATGTCAACAAGAGCTGATGGTAAACACCATCTGTAAAAATATTCAAAGATCCTGTATGGTAATAACCCATAAATTGTCTCTGTCGCCAAGAGACTACGACCGTTTGAGTGGTGGATCAAAAGCTAATTAACGCAGAAGACCTCACAGCCTGTCGGAGCTTTTAACTTTGATCAGACCTACCAAAGCTAGGAGGGAGTTTGCCTGTCCTCTTCACAAATAGTCGGACTTTAGGACCTCCGTTTTGGATGATATCGATTGCCTCAGAATGGGTCATACTCTCCGTTCTACAGTTATTAATCTCTAGTATTTGATCTCCAACCTAAAATAAATGATAGAGAAGTTTAAAGATCGTTTACAAATTTATTACTTTGATAAATTTATTAATCACTTCAGCAATAAACATTGTCAATTAATCAGAAATTTAATATACCTTCTAAAGAGTAATTAAGCCTTTATTGCATATAGTGTTATTTGTTATGTGAAAACGAAAACATATTTAGGAACAAAACAGTGCAGCATTGTGAAACATCTAGTCTCCCAACACAAGCATTTATCATTGAACAAAACTTACTCTTAATCTTCCATCAACATCAGCCGATCCTCCCTCAGCTATCCTCAGTACAAATAACGGCATACTGTTGAACTCTCGTCCACCTCTGATTGAGAAACCGAACCCTCGTGACCCTCGGGGTAGTTCCACTGTGTACAGTTCCTCATCATCTGGACTCTGTGGGATCAAAACATAACAAATGTTAACAGATTCAGTCTTGGCTTGCTTTCTGGGATATGTCATATTTGTTAAAATTGTATTTTTTTTTTTTTAGCAGATTAACCATTTCACCCCTTTGTAACTTTAGTAAACTCTACCATGCATTGATCTGGATGAGTCTATTTTGGTCTTCAGTGGTGAGAAGGTTAAAGAGCTTCAACAGTCTTGACCAACTAATGCACTATGTCAGATACATCTCACTATTAGTGAAATACTGCATTCAAGTTAAAAATGATTCACAACCACAAGTCTTGATCAGATTGATGTGCATCAACACAAGAGGCCCAAGGGCCTTAGCGGTCACCTGAGTTATATCACAGGTACTGGTAGCTTTATTTTATTGTTTAGATGTGATGTGGAAATCAGCATGTTAACTAAGTGAAATACAATACTTGTCAAGTCATCAATGGATAAGAATTTGAAAATATTGGTAAATATTCCCTTTGGGGCCCCGCCCTAGCCCCTGGGAATGGGGCAGGAATCCCAATTTTAGAAAAGTAATACTCTCATTCACCCAAGATGATTCTGATTAAGTTTGAGTAATTTTCTGCTGAAAATGGATAAAATATATACCGAAAAGTGTTATTTCCCTATATAAACTATATTAAACTTTACCCCCTCCCTAAGGGAGAACGGTTAGCTTGGGGGGTCCTGAAATTTACAATTTAAATAAAGCCCCTGATGAAAATGAATGTAGTACCTCTGAGTCGGGAAGTGAAAAATTTGGAAATATTGGTTAATTTTCCCTTTGGGGGCCCGCCCAGGCCCCAGGGGTCCGGGTAGGATTCTCAATTTTACAATTTGAAACCGTCTTCCTCCAAGGATAATTCTCACCAAGTAAAAATAATTTCCTACAGAAAGTTGTCAAAATATACCCAAAAGTGTTATTTCCCTATATAAACTATGGTAACTTTACCCCCTCCCCAAGGGAGAACGGATAGATTGGCGGTCCTGAAATTTACAATTTAAGTAAAGCCCCTGATGATCTTTCTTTCCACGTTGAGAAAATCACTGTAGTACCTCTCAGTCTGGAGAAGAAGATTTTTGAAATATTGGTTAATTTTCCCTTTGGGGCCCCGCCCTGGCCCCAGGGGTCGGGGTAGGAATCTCAATTTTACAATTTGAAACCATCTACCTCCAAGGATAATTCTCACCAAGTAAAAATAATTTCCTACAGAAAGTTGTCAAAATATACCCAAAAGTGTTATTTCCCTATATAAACTATAGTAAACTTTACCCCCTCCCCAAGGGAGAACGGATAGCTCGGGGGTCCTGAAATTTACAATTTAAGTAAAGCCCCTGATGATCTTTCTTTCCACGTAGAGAAAATCACTGTAGTACCTCTGAGTCTGGAGAAGAAGATTTTTGAAATATTGATTAATTTTCCCTTTGGGGCCCCGCCCTGGCCCCAGGGGTCGGGGTAGGAATCTCAATTTTACAATTTGAAACCATCTACCTCCAAGGATAATTCTCACCAAGTAAAAATAATTTCCTACAGAAAGTTGTCAAAATATACCCAAAAGTGTTATTTCCCTATATAAACTATAGTAAACTTTACCCCCTCCCCAAGGGAGAACGGATAGCTCGGGGGTCCTGAAATTTACAATTTAAGTAAAGCCCCTGATGATCTTTCTTTCCACGCAGAGAAAATGAGTGTAGTACCTCTGAGTCTGAAGAAGAAGATTTTTGAAATATTGGTTAATTTTTCCTTTCGGGCCCCGCCCTGGCCCCAGGGGTTGGGGTAGGAATCCCAATTTTACAATTTTGAAGCCTCATCTACCAAGGATGATTCTGACCAAGTTTGAAAAAATCCATCCACTGGTTCTTGAGAAGAAGTTAAAAATGTAAAAGTTTACGCACGAGCAAAGCTCAGGTGACCTAATCAGGTGACCTAAAAATGCATAGCAAGCATTTTTTCAAGTACCTGTTGGAGGAAAATTTTACTTTTCTCAGGGCTTGTTTTTATTACATACCTGTTGGTTAGGAAAGTTACGTTGTCTTGCAAGGTCTTTCAACTTCTCAGCTGGGGGAGGGTTTCTGTAAGGACAATGTACACGTTTATTTTCCATCAGTATATCATTAACAAACTACATAGGGTTGGGGGAGGGTTTGTTAAGGATATGATACTTATGCATGCATCTCCTTTTCAAGACTTTTGCACTTATAAGTCAAATATCTTTTATATGTGGTAAGTTGTACTCAATCTATTAATTTGATAGGTGTGTCATAATATTGCTGATTAAAAATTTGTCAAGAAGTTCAAGGCAAAATGCCTCATTTTTTTTTATATTTACACATATTTTATTGCCATAATACAACTGGATTGGGCACAAGTTATACAACTTATATCAAGCCATTTCCATGCGCATGCATTAGTTGATTTCTTTAAAGAACCTTTTTTTATGGAAAATCGAAGTAAAATAAATATCTGTGGACAGCGAAATAAAGGATTAGGAATAGAATTTCTAATATCGAAATAATTAAGTAAATAAGTAAAAATAATTTGATTTTCGTTATCTTCTGTATTTGCCATATATTTCAAATTTCAAATTTCATTATAATTACCTACCTTCGTAATTCATTTTCACCAACAGCAGGAAAGGCCATAGCATTTACCATAGAACCCTGTGAACTCTGGAAAAAAATCAATGTGAAATTAGTTAGAGTTCACTTCTTTTTTGTCTACCACTACTCCTTATATATCCTGAGGAATAAGGACAGGTGTAGTAGACAGGTATAAGAGCTAGGATAGTAGAATACAGAGTTCATTATTATATGTTATTAGAACACATGACAACTGTTCATAAGCCATGTCCTGTATTATACTGGGACACATAACAAATGATGAAGATATCCCCTTTTATGCGGAACAACCGGATAGTCCGTTTTTCAATGTAACAATTTCAGGTATAAAACCGGGCAGACCTGCAAATGTTTATGCAGCCCTTGTAATGCTTTATCAAGGCTCACATGAAAGCAGCATAAAACTACTAGGTCTGACCTTATTTCATAAACAAACAACTCTGAAAGCAGCCCTTGTGACTTGAATGAAACTTACTCTTTGTGATGTTGATGCTGTACTTGAGTTATCATCTGAAACAGGATTGATAGAAAATATTAAATTAATAAAACATGTTTAGGGCCACATTTATGTTTTATTTTCAATCTAAAAAGGATTCAAATTAAAGTCATATTGGAAATGTTTTGTGGCATTCTTGACATTTCAACTGTTTTCTTTATCAAATGGATGACCATGACCTTATCCTGTGTATATACCAAAAGGAACAGTGACCTTAATATCAACATGTACACGGTGGGGAACACAGTGACCTTGACCCCTAACCAGTGGGCCTCCTCATTCAAAGTTAACCTGATCCTTACTCTGTGGTGATCTCAAACTCAGCATGACCCTTATCCTACGATGACCCCAAACTCAACACGACACTAACCCTTACCCTGTGATGACCCTAAACTCAGCATGACCCTGACCCTTACCCTGTGTTAACCCAATACTCAGCTTAACCTTGACCATTACCCTGTGATGACCATAAACTCACCATGACCCTGACCCTTACCCTGTGATGACCCAAAACTCAACATGACCCTGGCCCTTACCCTGTGGTGACCCCACGGTGAGAGTGACAGCCAGACCGGCCTCCTTGATGATATTGACAATGTCCTCATGATGCATGTGAGAGATATCCACATTGTTGACCGCCAGGATGCGATCTCCGACGTGTAACTGGCCACATCTCTCCGCAGGACTATTCTCTAAGATACGACCTGTAAAGACATTCAAAACTATAAATGTACTCTGAGCTTTATCATTGGTACATCTCATTTGATTTAGAATGATGATGATGATGATGATGATGATGATTGGATGTTGATTCAAGTAAAAAAAAATATCAAAATATGAAAAACTCAAAATCCTTTCCCTATACTTAACATGGTATTTCCATGCCTCTTATGCACTGAATTTAACTTGATATGCCTAGACTGTATATTTAGGTACATTAAATGCTAGATTTTGTATGAAATAGACCAAATTGCATGATGTCTCACTTTCAACTAAATTAACATAACATTTATATATGACTGTTAATGATTAATACAAGTACACTACTATATATTTGGGAGTTAAGTATATATATATAAATACACATTATGTAATACATTCAATATATTTAGGGTGTATTATTTATATATGACTACATTCATTCACTATATTAAGGGGCAGATAACTCCACTTTTGATATATATTATTGTCATTGACTACAACCATACACAAGCATTCCAGATCATAACACACTTATTATTTCTGTGACAGTCATGTACTCTAAAGATGGTGCAAGTACAGGTATACAATATCATGCATTTTCATTCTTTTTATTCAGTTTATTTCTAATTTCTAAATGCATATATAACAATGTTTTTTTTATATTAATCCACAACCTCATCCAACTGCATTTATCAATTATTTTAATCAACCTAATCCAAATTCATTTGTAATTTTTTTTTAAAATATCTACTACCATAACAAATGCAGAAGAATTATTAACAAAAATACTTGACGAACATAATAACTTTTGACATACTTCATTTTCATGTACTTTAGAATAACAATGCTTATAAAAGTGATTTTGCACATACAAATATGTAGGGTCAGAGGTGCGTTTTCACATCAGGTCTACATAGGGAGGGGAAAGCACGAAGCAGAGTTACATTTTGAGGACATGTGCTAGATGAGTTGGGACTGGTGTCGGGACTAGGAGGGCTGGTGTCAGCTATTACAAGTGTAGTGCTCACACTGTCAAAACAAACACATCGTGACTTTACATTGAGATCCAATATGTCATCAGCTGATATTGTGTTACAGTTAGACGAAGCCCCTCAACTACAGGTTTATTTAGGATTCTATCTATAAACAATGGCAACTTATTAGTTATAGTTAATCCTTTGTTTAATCTTTTTAAGTCTGCTTAAGTTGATTCTGAAGTTCGTAGGTCGTCTCAAAGCGGTTCAGGACTTTGCAACCAGCCAATATCTTTCTCAACTCCCTGGGGAGCATACAGCCGGCTGCCATTTCAGTGCTCACAGCTAGCATTCTACAATTCCAGCACTGCCCAACCATGTACTCATTTACAGCTGAGTAGACTGGAACAAGCGGAGTAAAGTATCTTGTTCAAAGATACAACACAGTGCCTTCGGTCACAAGCCCGGTATCCTATCACTCGACAACCATGCCTCCACGGATTTGAGTCCTATTTGAATGACTCTGCTGCTAACAACCACAGAAAGCTGGGAATAAATATCTCAAGAGCAAGAAAGTCTAGTGCTTTAACCATCAGATCAGGCCTTATTGATATAACTTAAATGGAAATTTCTACCAATATTACATATACAAGAAATGCTTGACAAGTGTTAGATTTCATTTTTAAAATTAACAGGTGTTTTTTTTAACAAATAAATATCTAATACACCTGTTACTTCAAATTATAGTCATAGCTTTAAAACACTTCATTTTAAATTGTTGCTTATAGATTATGTTTACTAAATGATATATATTGTTAATTGTGCATGTGTACAAATTTATTTTTGATTATTGCTTTGGTTACCAGGGATGTGAGGGCAACTATCCTCCAAACAGAACACAATTAATTTAACAGAGGTTGGGGTTACTTTATACCATTCTTTTCTGTAGGGTTACGTACTACCGTAAACATTTAATGAAATGGAGCTTTCAACAGAACAGTGTGTTTTTTAAGACATTTACAACATTGTCAACATCATTTAATCAGAATTAAGGAGCTACTCCTAACCATATATTTGTAGATCAACCTCAACCATCTCCCTTAACTGATGAAGAATGAATTGGATTCATTATGAAGCATGTATGGATCAGTGTTCCTGTAAACACTAGTGGTGAAAGCATGAAATACAATACACAATATACTGCAATACTCAAACATCTACAGGTATCAATTCTAGGAAACAGGACAAATCATAATCCCGTTATAATTGGGAAGGTTTCTCCTGGAGATGTTTTGAATAACTCCAGGATATGGGAAGTTTTGTGACCATCAATTTTCAATGTACAGCAGGTAACAACTCCAGAATGTCAACTAAAGTTAAATATCATTACAGGATTCAATCTGGTCTTGTATTGCATTATACTGGTACACTGACATCTCATACACCACTAGTGGATCAAGAATTATGATGGTGGCAGCTTGAAATCGTTCAGGAAACACAATTGGATGATACAACATTCAATGGCTACAATAAGCATGACACATTCCGTAAACTGACCAATCAGGGAAGGTGTAACAAATCATATCAATATGGGGGGATGCAGACAGTAAAATGAGCAATTTCTCACCAATCCATGGGTATTGATTTTTTCTATCTAACCAGTCCTTAACTACCCCTGTGTCTGAAATAATTAACCAATGAAATGTTAAAAAGATCTTAAATAAGTTAAAAGGAACACAAATCCAGAATTTTCTTCTAGGGCACCAGGAACCCTATTTGAACAATAATGACACCTACAACACATCAAGGTCTGAATATGCACTTTCTGATCTTGGAAAAAAAGGGTCTTTCTTTTCTTATCAAGTAGTTGTGTACCCATTATGAGAGAGGTCATAAATATCAAAAGTTGACAGACAGACAAATGACCATGGCAATAGTTGAAACTAACGAATGGAACTTTCCATATCTATTGATAGCAGCATTAGCATTTTTAATATATGGATAAGACAAGAAAACATTCTCATTCTAGCACATTCTGATTCATGGTTTACATGCACTTAACAATAACAAACAAAAACACAAAAAGATCCAATGGGCCTGTATCGCTCACTTGTCACTTTTGACTAGAACTATGTAACATTTTCTTAGTTCAATTTTTACACCTAGATATATCTCTTACATGTATATAGATGAACCCAATATATTTGTAAGTTTGGTTTTATAGGTAAGGACGTATATTTTCGATGGCCATGCTACAACTACATATAATGGTCAACATCTATGAGATTACTCAATGCAACTAGTATGCTCACAAGAAAGAAGTGAGCTTTGATTTTTGCGACTTACTACTGGTGTGAAAAAGTAAAACTCTACAAATGTGTTGACAAATAGACACTCTTCAATACCAACTACCTATTTACGAAAGTGGGAGAGGAGATATGTAAAAAAAAAATGAAAACAAACTTTTTCCAAAATATTGTTAGTAAAGATAGCCACCCACAGAATTTTGAATAAAATGAAGATAACTTTTACTACACACAACAGGCCCCAAATTTATTTCAATTTGAACCCAGAAATAGAGAGCCTGTTAATCTTGTGTACAAAATCTACATGGTACATTTAAGATTGGGCGTGGACTAGTCACAATTAACTCTTTCATTCTGAATTTTATTTGATCATAAACTTACATCTATATTTAATTTGGATTCAGCTGCTGAATATTTCATAAAAAAAATATCTGCAGGAATTCCCATCTGCTGGAGGATAAACTACAATTTCCGCTGATTTCTTCAGTTCTATTTATTTTCGCAATCTTAGATAAAAATTACGAAGGGCTTCTTATGACAGTATGTTGCATTCTGTAATACTTCCATCATCTCAAATCAAAACGAGAGGTCTAGCTAAGAGAAATAGAGGAAAGCCACCGACATCTATAGAACAATGGTTAAACCAAATCATAGGTACATGGTATAAAGAGAAACATTTCAGGGTTTAATATCAAATAATAATACCAATGTTTAAGTATACAAGAGTCTATAGTGTAACAAATTAAAAGCAAATAAAATAGACCAATGATTATGTGCATGAATCGTGCAATATAAAAAATTCAAAATACATGTACAACAAACAAGACCAGAGTTCGTCACAGATATTTCTGTATTTTTAGAATGTAATACAATATAAAGATCTCAACAGATTACTTGGTCTAACAGACCCCTATTATGATGATGCCCCTGGAAAAATCTTTCTCTACAGCTAACTATCATAATGGACTCATTTTATAATACATTTTATTATTACAATGTTACCTCCCAAAAATCATGAATAATCTGTAATTATTCACTTTTTTATATTTTTTATATGAATATTGAATATTGTACACGAGAATTGAATACTGTAAAAAAAACTTCACAACACAATATTAGGTACTCCGCAGTTTGTTTTCGGCAGGAATCATTGTCTACATCATTTCTCTAAACGTTTTGTCAAGATTCCTGCCCCCTCCCCCCGACCCACTCTACTGTGACGAACCCTAGGACCTGTGACAACCAAAACTATACCAAGCCTGTGAGTGACACGTACCGATGAACTCACCTATGGTCGACCCTGACTTGGTTACGGATGAAATGATAACAAAACCAAACCCCTCTGTTTGTCGTCGAGTAACTGTCACCTCATACGGGTAGCCGTCCGCCACGTTACCATGGTGATCGCCTATGAAATAAGTAACATCAACAAGGGTGTTTGGGGTTAGAAATAGGCAATGAAGACAAAAGAAAATATTTCTTCAATGATTTTTTTTTTTAACAATCTCTCATGAATTCATGAAATTGTGTAACATCAGAGATTGACAGTACATCAATATTATTAACAATGACTGGCTATCATTGAATACTTTATTGGTACCTACCACCAGGGGGAGCCATATGTCTCCGCACACTCAGAGACACACGTCCACCACTGCCGGCCCGGCTCATCAGTTGCACCACCTGGTGGTGAGAACAGTTCACCACACAGAAGTTGTCCACATGAGTAATTTCGTCACCGGTGTGTAACCTTCCATCCACATCAGCTGCTCCACCCGGCACGATATGTCCAACTGACACCTGAGGTGAGATAGGTGCTATGTTTATCAGTAGGAATCCAAGATGGCATTTCTATTGAACTGCATTAGATAGGGGTGGGCTTATTTACAGGCATGGGTTTATTGCCTGATAAATAAAGTCAGCTCAAAAGTACAGAGCGGCGACAAATACTTAATAACAAGGTGCGACTTTTTTGGCTTGTAACAGCATAGTTTACATAACAAATGAACACATGGAGGTTAAATTATCTATTCAAACAGCAGGAAGCAAATCTGTGGATTCACCCCTCTTCATTATGAGGTAAATAACTTTCACTTACCTGAGACCCTTCTTCTGTTCCTCCAATAATTCTGAAACCAAATCCAGTTTCCTGGCGTTGTAACGTCACTGTAAAAACCATACAACCACTGTCCTCATTAGGAAACCTTGGTGGTATCCTCGGTGATTGATTGAGGGAAGCTTGGCTGTTGAATGAGGAACTAGAGTGTAGAAACTTTCTAGGCACCCTCATGATGTTACTAGGGGAGGGCTCAACCTCTTCGAAGGAGGTACTCTGCCGTGGTGGGCGTCCTGCACCCATCCCTGGAGAGAAATTGTTCATGCCATTCCCAAATGGTCGATTGTCGAAAGTATCGTGAAGATTGTCGCCCCTTCGTTGCACTGGGGGAGAACCAGGATAATCCATAGAACTGTGATGTCCCCACTGTGGCCTCTGGTGACCAGAGTAACCCCCCTGTCTAGATGTCCCATTAATACCCACTGAATTGTGATTGCGTGACCCATGCATCAGGAAGTCAAGGTTTCCCCCATAGGACATCCCCGGGTTTGGGGTTTTACTCCTCATGTCCTGAGCAGTGGGTGTCTTAGGTCTATTCGAATCTCCTCTGTAGTCAGCTTGTCTACTATTGAACATTTCCGGCCCAGGTGTTCGACTACGTAACATGCCTGGTTTAACAGGGTCCCCACGATCGAACCGATCCCCTCCTTGGTGGTTAAAATTTGTGTTGTGCATAGTGTGATTCGGTCTCATGCCCTCCTGTCGACTGTGTGGTCGTTGATGTTCGTTTCTTATTTGGTCGTGTCGTGGTCCCGGTGGGGGACGTGAGTTAAAGTCGTAGCTCCCAGAATTACTATAAAACTCGGAGGAGGACCTAGACTGATTAAGTTCCACACCTTGATTCCCAAAGTCCCGTGAATTATCATCATTTGAATGAACACGATTTTGCATTTCTGATAATGGATGACGACTATCAATGGTTGGTTTATTTCGATTATCAATGCTAGGTCCCATAGTCCTTGTAGGCGTTTTGGGCCGGTTATCGTTCATTGAAGGAGTTTTCGGTCGCCCATCGTAATGTGTTGGCGTTTTTGGACGTGTCGACGAATCCACTTCGTCTCTATTTTCTGTAACATACACACAAAGAAAGGGTTCCTTACTGATGTCAATGCATCGCACATTCAAACACACAGATGATTTTTTATCCATAACTGTTGAAATTTACTAGCACCTAAAGATAATGAACAATTTTTAAAACCATTTATCCATTCGTTCAACCACATCCGACTCCATCGTGACCTAAGCTGCCAGAGGCATACCAGCAGAAATAATTTGTGCTGCTATTGGAACTTTCTCCAAGGCCGGCACATGACACACACATGATCAGCATACAGATACACCAAACAGTCATCAACAAGTACACAGGTAAAACGGGTTAAGGCATCATGATCAAATGAAAACATGTTAAAATCATCAGGTTTCCACAGGTTGTGGAGCAGACATTGTTATCGCCGTTATGATTAGTTCGGCAAGAGCTGAATTGATTTCTACATTTTTGCAACGCTGCTAGGTATTGTGGCCTATCAGCTTATAAAGATACTGGGAAGGTTTATCGGAATAATGACTTATGACTTTATACATATACATCAACTCCTCATCCAAGCATCACAGCATGATGGATAAAATGAATTCACAGTAAAGAAGCCTGGTGACATGAAGGTTGAACATTAAAAGGTGTGCAAAAATGACCTTCAAGGGTCAAATCACCAAGCACTTACACCTCCCTAATCCCTGCATGCAAGTCAAGCTATAAAAGGCACAACCAGCACTGACTGTGTGCTGTTTTGTTACTTATTTACACTAATGGTACCTAACAGAGACATGAGATATCAAATGACTTCACTATAAGAAGGTTCAGAGGTACGGCTGATGGCTAAATACACATACAGGGGAGACTCACCATTACTGAAAGCTTAGCTTGCATTCTTTTACAAGCAAGGCATAGAGTGAGGTGTATCAAGTTCAGGGACATAATTATAAGATGTAATACTACCTGGTAGAGTTTCATGTAGACCCTATTCCATCTACAATACTACATATTACATCACGGAATTGTAACTGGTCTATGATACTGAATCATGTTGGTGAAAACTGTTCTTACCTTTTTCTACATGGTTCTCATCCCCACTGGTAATATTTTTGTGATTTTTACCTGGAATTGAAAATGAGCAATCAATAGTGTGAACGGCTTAAATTTCAAATTCATAAACATTACTTTTATTAAATTCTCCAGTTTCTTATAAAAGTGTACAAAATTAACATTTTCTTCTTGAATTAACACTAGGCAATGCATGTAAGACTGTACCTGCTCCCAATGAAATTAGTGTTACTGATTCAAACAATCTTCAATAAATAGTAATAGTGACCTTGGCTTCAACCATGTAACCCTGAAACAAAAAGCATTCTCATACGTGACTTTTGTATAAAGCTTGATGGAAATCAATTAAGAAATGAAGTGGCTAGAGTATTGTCATTCAATTGTTTGTCGAGTTTCTGTAAATAACATGTTTGTCAAGTTTCTGTAAATAACAACAGTGACCTCAGCCTTGCCCTTAGAACCCTGAAATACAAACTCATTCAAGGTATTCTCATGCTTGACCCTTGTATAAAGCTTGATCAAAATCAGTGAAGAAATGAATTTGCTAGAGTGATTTCACTGAATTGGTTGACAAATTTTTGTAAATAATAAGTGACATTTGCCGTGACCTTTGAACCCTGACATACAAAAATCGTTCGAGGTACTCTCATACCTGACCTTTGCATAAAGTTTTATCAAAATCTGTTAGGAAATGAAGAAGCTAGATCTATAGAGTAATGACACTGAATTGGAGACAGAAATTGCTAGCACTATATATACACCCCTGATAAAATGGCAGAGGCAATTATAAAGGACACAGGTGTGAATGCCTGCCAACTGTGATGAGAGGGAAATATGACAATCATGGAAGTATTGTCTTACAGAAGCATGTCCTTGTTAGTTTGTTGTACACAAAACAATGGTGTACAAAGCACCTTATTGATTTTCTCCAAAGGCAATCTCGTTACCCGACTTCACCTGTACAAGATTAAAACCTGTGTACTCATTTGTCATAAAGCTTAAAGCCAGATCTTCCATGTTGTTATTTTTTAATCCTAACTCAGCTGCCAACATGATGATAATCAGATAAGTATGCATAGGTCCAACAATGCAATCAAATTGAGCTTAGGTTATAAGACAGAAGGAAATCTAAATTAAGTTGGGATCCATGTAAAGATGTATATGCTTATAGAGATGGAATCTCAATCATTTCCATTTTATGACCCTGGGATTATCCCGAGGAGTGGGGCCAGACCCTGGAGGTAATCCCAGTACCCCCTTCTGGGACCATTTTCCTATTATGACCAAAGGACTACCAATCCTGGTAGCAATGATGTTTTCATCACTTCATGCCAACTATGTATGTTTGTGATTATATAATGAGGATCTGGACTCTTAAGGCTTCAGGGATTGCACTAAATTTATATTTATATATACACATGATAGCTTCAACTCAGTGATGCTTCAGCTTCAGACCAAATATTGCAACAATCTGTCAGTTGAATTATTAACACCCGGCCACCCCTGAAAAAAAAATCAAAACAATCTGAACTACATATTTGCCAGTCCCAACTGATGCCATCAACCTACCAACATTAAAACATAAGACTAGAAGCTTACCTATCATGTTAGGGTCCCCTCCATTCTCAAAGAAGTACGCTCCTGGTTGAGAAGTGGTGGAGGAACCATCCTCTGGTGATCTCGTCTGCAAAGTACATTTATCTATTAGCATGCTGCTGTAGTGACGTAAAGTAATAAGTTACTGTCCTATTGGTAACATGACAACGTAGATAGTGTATACCATTCTGTGTTGTAGTGACGTAAAGTAACAAGTTACTGTCCTATTGGTAACATGACAACATAGGTAGTGTATACCATTCTGTGTATTAGTGACGTAGAGTAACAAGTTACTGTCCTATTGGTAACATAACAACATAGGTAGTGTATATCATTCTGTGTATTAGTGACGTAAAGTAACAAGTTACTGTCCTATTGGTAACATCACAACATAGGTAGTGTATATCATTCTGTGTATTAGTGACGTAAAATAATAAGTTACTGTCCTATTGGTAACATGATAACATAGGTAGTGTATACCATTGGGTTGTAGTGACGTAAAGTAACAAGTAACTGTCCTATTGGTAACATCACAACATAGTTAGTGTATATCATTCTGTGTATTAGTGAAGTAAAATAATAAGTTACTGTCCCATTGGTAACATGATAACATAGTATAGTGGATATCATTCTGTGTTGTAGTGACGGAAAGAAACAAGTTACTGTCCTATTGGTAATATGACAACATAGGTAGTGTATCCCATTCTGTATAACAAGTGTTTAGTGACGTAAAATAATAAGTTTCTGTCCTATTGGTAACATGATAACAGAGTATAGTGTATATCATTCTGTGTTGGAGTGACGTAAAGTAACAAGTTTCTGTCCTATTGGTAACATGATAACATAGTATAGTGGATATCATTCTGTGTTGTAGTGACGGAAAGAAACAAGTTACTGTCCTATTGGTAAAATGACAACATAGGTAGTGTATCCCATTCTGTATAACAAGTGTTTAGTGACGTAAAATAATAAGTTACTGACCTATTGGTAACATGATAACATAGTATAGTGGATATCATTCTGTGTTGTAGTGACGTAAAGTAACAAGTTGCTGTCCTATTGGTAACATGACAACATAGGTAGTGTATACCATTCTGTATAACAAGTGTTTGATAAAGTCTGAATCCTTAAGATATTAGTATTCACACACAAGTCTTTTACATGTCATATCAACGTCGAATGGACACAAAACATGCACTGCTGTGTATCGTCCGATTGTCAACTGTTTTTGGAGCGAAATTGAAGTATGAAGGTCAGCAAGGTAAAATTAATGAATTATTGAATGATCTTTTTTCATCATCTAACATATATTTCACCCGAAATAAACAACACATAAATTAATACACATGGTTTACCAAGAGTTTGTATTATGTACTTACTGGTTTAATAGGTTTTTTACTTTTCATTGGTAACCCTGGAAAAAAAAAATATATATGTATACATATTAATGCTACTGTACCATCATTATTTAACTGACAAATATGATTTAAGTAAAATAAATAAGAAATGCTACAAAAAATTTGCCATCAGTAACAATCTTCAATGTATAAATTTAAATTAATTTTACTTTTAACAGTTCATCTACAAATAGCAATGAAATCCTTGAACCAAAAGAGGAAATTGATAACGCAGATAATTGTAATAAATTGGCTCAGATGCAAATCCCGGCAGCATGTTTGGTTATGGGGAGGAGACCTCAACTGTTTCCATGCTCTGATGCAGGGACTAAGTCCCCAGGGGCTGGGACACACTCCTTAGGCCCCCTAAGCTTTCAAATCCTAGTTGCTTTGGTGTAAATTTAACTTTATCTCTTATGCTCAGCAAAAAGATGTGTAGTGTTGATGTGAAGATCTCCACCATTTTTAAGATACGATGCAGGGACCAAGTAGTTGAGACTGAGCTGGCCCCTGACCATGCATTTGTCTATTTTTGCCAATTATGTGTGTATGAGATTATGTAGTGGTGATCTAGATCAAGTGACTATAAACAGATTTTCACTCATTTATACTAATTATCTATGGCATTTAAAACTCGTTAAAATTGTTCTCATTATATCAGGAACATGTTGGCAATTACCAACCTAACGAGACATGTACTAAGAATTGTTGCTTTGATGGGTTTCTTTGTAACCTAATATACTGGTGGGTTTTTTTCTCAACAAAAATGTAAAATAAACAAAATATTCCAGAAAGATAAAATATTTCCTTTCATAAAATATCTGATCATCGAAGAAACAAATATCAAATACCTCATTTGCATCAAACTTGGCATTATTTCATTTGATTAAAAAAAAAAAAAAACAACTTACCTCCCCTTTGCACAATGATTTTTGTTTCCTGTCCTTTGGGACAGTCCTTTAGAACACCAACAATTTCACCGTGTGACATGTCCTTGACATTAATACCATTGATTTCCTGTAGAATATCCCCCTCCTGTAACGTCTTACACCGAGGCTTGTCCAGAATCTGTTTCACTTTCTGTCCGAAATGACTGTCAGCAATCGTAAAACCAAAACCCATTTCCCCCCGCACAATATTCATTGATAAAATTTCTGGTCGAGAATTCAACAACGTCAGCACATCTGGTGTAATATCACTATTTACGTTACCACTGTTACCATGCGTGAGAGCGTCGGAGGAATTGTTATTTGTTGACCATGTGAGGTCGGGCAGCGACTTTAAACTTTTGGCCGAGGTATTTAAATAATCAAAGTCATGTGCTGAGGAATAAGATGGCGGTGCACTGCTTGAAGGTGTGTCCCCTTGAGGTAACGACACGGCAACCGTGACAATAATCTCTGTATTAGGGTCTTCAGGATCAAAGGGCAAACAGTAACCCCGGCAGATCTCAAGGTCCACTTTCTGATGTGGAGGAATGGTTTGGAACTGGTTGACGATATCCTGATGAGTGTAGCCTAGCACATTGTTACCGTCAACATGGACCAGAACATCACCTGTAACACAACACAGAATAGCATTATAACACAATACAATGTGAACTTCAGCTATAACACGAACACATGTTTTAAACACTATTTCACAGAATACCAGCCATAATACCACACAACACAGGGCTAAAACACCTATATAAAATTTACCATTCCTCAAAGTCTACCAAATGTTACATAAATTTTACTTTTCTTGATAGTTTATAATCTGTATTTTGATTAACAATTTTTAAAGAAACTTATCGTTTCATTTTGTGATAATATATTAACTATTGGCTCAAATATCTTAACAAAAATTTCATGTTTTTCAGATAAAACATATTTCCATTGATTTGTTTGACAATCTTAATTTCCAGTTGTGGAAATGAATCTTTTCCTCTCAAAACTGAATTGACAATGCTTCATTCTAATTATATTAATATTAAGTTAATATCATTTTTCCAGATATTCTGACAGTGATCATAAATAAGAAACCAGCTAATGCTAATATTATCAAGAGTGTTACCACACACCTGTTTTGAGCAGGCCATCTTGATGGGCGGGGCCATTCTCGACCACCTTCTTTATCTGTAGGAACTCCTCGTCGGCGCGGTCTCCCCCGATGATGGTGAACCCTAACCCACGTATACTCTTCACTAGTGTCGTTCTCCTCAGCTCACCCTTAAGTTCCGACGGAATCTTCGTGAATCTCCGTTCTGCAATTTCCAAACATTTCTCAATGTTTATCATTTTTAAATACGAATTTGACTTCAAGTTCAGCAAGGGCAAAATCGAAAACTGACAGTAATGTTTAATCTAATTTAATTAAAGCAGATTTTGATGAAATTCAAGAATATACATAGCAATATTATATAACGCACTTAAGATATTAGGACAGTATAAATACAATGTAAACACAAACAGAGTTTATCTATGAAATGATATACCCCAGTAAGATATACCTTGATCTTTTAATTAGATTACACAGGTGCTCCAGTAAACAGTATATGTATTTTAATCCAAATATCCTGATTCTGTACATATACATCTTCCGGTAAACATTTAAGCAAATACTTATTTTGTGTGGTAGAAAACTTCAATGAAGCCCAACATATGAAAAAAGGAGGAAAAAAATCTCAAAGAAAAGCTTTTGCAAATGAATTCAAAAACCAAAAAAACAGCCAACCTCATCTAGAATGATATAATCTATTCTCTTTCTTGACCCGACACCTTGTAAAATGAGTCGTTGTTAATGGCAGCTAAACATGACAGTCTAACATTACTTGCTGAATAGCACTATTGTAATCAAAATGTCCATCAGTAAGTATCCATAGAAATTCAGTTTGTACACCTAGTACTAGATCTGTCATAATTTGTACGTTTGGCAGGGAAATATATGCTAGTGATTATATCAGTAAATATACAAATGTATGTACAATCATAGCAAGACTTTAGTTCTTAGCATAAAACATTGTAACAAGTCGTAACGATGAGTTTCACAGTAAACAAGCCCTAAGGTACACGTCTTACAAATAGGACAAGATAATGCAAAACCCATGTTCTAAGGATAGGAGTATTTAATTTTATACAGTTAAAATACATTCAATGCTAAGACTTCACATACTGAAACACAAATTCTGAAGATAGGGTTATGCATACGGTATGCAAGTCCAGTGCTTAGATTACACATAGCATGACACATGTCTTAGTTAAGGCTAGGACTCAAACGTTTAGTGGGATGCATGTCCTTTGGATACGACTTTGTTACATATAAGCTATTGGTGATAATAAGATATGGACAGATATAGCAGGACACACCTCTCCTCCTGCGCCCAGCTCCAGGATGGTGGCTGTTGTACTCTGTAGGAAACAAGGAGAACAATCATGCTGGGTAAGGATAACCAGCTAGGCATGCACAGCGCTGATTCACCAAAACACTTTCAAAATCACCAAAACACTCAATCTAATTGGTCAAGATCACCAAAACACGCTATTTGATTGGTCAAAACACTGAAACACGCTATTTGATTGGTCACAATCACCGAAACACGCTATTTGATCAGTCGAAATCCCCAAAACTCTGTATTTGATTGGTCAATTCTTGTTTAATTACAATATTCTTGCCAATTGCAAGATGTGTAGTTGACACAATTGATAAACTATTTGTGTTAGACGTCTTTGAGTTGTTGATTTTTCATACATATTCCAAATTTGTTGATTATTTGTTGAAGCAATTATTGATTAAAGGGCATTGAAGGAATATTAATGAACGTATTTCAATCACAATCTGTTTCAAAATTATCCAGTCTTTTAATCAAGTGAGCATGTTTACCTGTATTTTCATGGTCCCTACAACTCTTGACAACTATGGTCTTAGTAGACAATACTAAGTTTGGTGAATTGAATTCTATTTTCTATATTATTTCACAGATATGAAAGAATAGAGATTGTTGGTATCAGTAAATTAAAATCCCTAAAATATCAGGCATTGTAGCATACACAAATTTAGACAACTCAGTAATCATCAATACAGTATGCAAATAGTTGTTACAAATGTTGTGGTGAATCAGAGGCCAAATTTGTAAAAGTTTAAGTCTAGTCCAACAAATGTAGCACAGTCAGGCTATTTTCTCACAAACATAAATTTTGATAATGTCCTCAAAACTTGTATACCTTATCTGTGATGATCCTGAATTATATGTGCATTAATGCAGTAGCATGTTTTTTGAAGCAATTCAAATTTTCTGGCAGCATTTCTTGAAAAAGAAATTAAAATTTAGAATAAATTCTGAAAGAATTTTGAAGATGAATGGAAAATCACATGTCAACAAATATAATATTAAGACTTTTAAAGATAACTGGTGCTTAACTCATTCACCCCTACAAATTTTCACTGGACTTGCCCAGTCTTTGGATTGGGTAAGGTTCAAATGTGACTGTAGGGGTGAATGGGTTAAGAAGGGTCCTTGAATCATGGATCTAGTTTGGTGTAAAATAGGCTGTACTGTCTAAACATTTGTTGGTTTACTAGATACTGAAGCAGAGCAATCGCGATGTAATGCACAGTGAGCGATCCAAACCCAGGGGGCCAGAGTAAAACATGCCGTCAGTCAATCAATACAGGTAATGATCATATACACAATGTATTAGCTAAGTCTACTGAGTCTGATTATATCGGTAAAAGCACATCTCAATGTAAGCACATTCAAATTCATTTTTTTTTTTTCAAATTAATTACAGTATTAGATATTATTGTATTAAAATTATCAGTTTATCTCATGCTACAGGTGAAATACATTTACAATTTTATTATTCATTAGTTTCTTAAAAGTCAAAGATAATGTTATAACATGAGAATAGCATAAATGATTTAAAGTCTATTTTTTGTAGCTCGACCCAAAGCAGAAAAGCAGGAATTCAGTGAGAAAAAACCAGTTATAGGAAATCTGGGCATTATCAATGTCTCAATTCTTCCGGGCACATGCGATTCCTTTTACCATGGACCAACAATCCCCATGAATGTGACATTACAATAAAATGATGCCCATTTCATAACTAAATGATCCATAAAAATAATTAGTTGATTCTTAGACCACTACAAAGCACAAGAGGCATAAAAAAATCACAACTTAACACGATAAAGAACTACACACTTGTCTTCATGTACAAATTATCTCCCCCGTTACATACCAGGTGGCGCTCCTCGACTACCCATATTGGTGTCACTGACGGATCTCTTGGCTTGATCCTGACTTTTCTTTGTGCGAGGTAGTGTGCTATTTAAATCATTTCCTGTAAAAAGAAACATTTTTGTTTCAATTTGTGAAACTTTGTTCATAATTATGATATTACAGATATATATATATATATCAGTAATATAACACAAAAAGATACAGTAAACATATCTAGTTTAGTGCACTCCAATTTTAGTACATTATCAAATCTTAACAGGTTAGTGCTTCCCTTGAAGTAACAGTAATTTCCCTTTGATGTTTCTTTCATTTCCATATTTTGCAATATTAGGCACTGGACACCTCAGGAGATTACCCTGTTGGAGGTGAGGTGGGAATTTATTTTTTCCAAATAAATGAAACTGAAGTTTTATATGAATGTATATTTTTCTATCAATATTTATTTAATTTTCTTTCAGTATTAGGACATTACATCTTACAATAAAAATATACCTGAATTATTTTATAACAATTATGAAACAAGTTTTTACAACTTAATTAATTATTCCTATTGGCCCGGATGTTAGCATGCGGGAGGTCTTAATATGTGACCAAAACCGGAGTACCCAGAGAAAACCCACATGGTCGGGCAGGTGACCCCATACCCATTCGCGTCCAATCAGGGAATCGAACCCTGGCTGCTTTGGTGAAAGGCAGGTGCACTATCCACTGTGCCACCCGACCACCCATCACATCTAACAGTAATGGAATATACAAAAGTAAGACATCTGCTGAGGGCACTAAAGCTATTGTTCCATTATATCCAGCTTTCAAAGCATTTCATTGTATGAAATAAAACAAGAGCAACTGGATTTAAATTCAACTTCACAGTTTCTCTATAGTGAGCTAACACATCCTTGTTAACCACTTCAGAAAAACAGTTGGTGATGAAGCAATGTCTTGTATCACAGGACCGTTGCATGTCTTAACTGATAGAACTGTTCGCCTCTTTTTCACTGTTCTAGAAAGACTGTTACCTTGCTGTTGTTTCTTAGCTGCAGCCACAGGGTTTTCATACTGAGTCCGTCTGTTCACATGGCTGGAAGAGCAAGAAAGTGAAATGTTAAAATACAATACATAACTCCACAACTGATATATTCTCTCGTTAATAAATCATCAGATTTGCGCAACTCGTAATTAAAGAAATGAGTGATAATGAAAAAGCCTGTTTTCATCGGTGGCAATGTACTTAGTTGAGGCTCTGTAGCTGTGAAAATGAAATCTTTCTAACAAAGGTAAAAAAAAATACAAACTTAATCAATTTCTGCTTGAAGTACATGTTCAATTGCAGGTGTTAATTTGATAATTCTGCTTTATGACAATCGGGTGAATGTAAACACAAGTTAGATCAATCTCTGGTGCGAGTGTTCATTATAAGATGTAAAGATTCCCATTGGTGTTTTATAGCCCTAGGTTCTGTAGTCTACACTGCTGATCCCAGGTACGCCCGATACCTGTAGACCCAGGTAGATTTCTACTGTACATTAATTATTGACACCTTAACGCATGCCAACCTACATGGTATGGATTAGAAAATATAAACTGGGGAACTGATGTAATTAGACAGATATGGCAGCCTCTTACATTCTTATCCAATTCTACTGCTTGTTTTTAGAGTTTTCCTTTCATTTCTGTGTTGCTTTTATATCAAGAGTATCCAATAATTCTTTATTATCAAAATTTTATAAGTATAGAAAATATGGCATGATTTCGGGAAAATACAGCAAAAACCTCTACAAGGACAAAATGTCATTTTCATTGTTTGTTTGTTTCCAAGAAGCTTGCACGGTTTTCCAGAAGACGAAAAAATCCCATTACCAGATATTTGGTGATAAATACACCGAAAACAGACCATTGACATATCACTACCTTCATCAAATTTGTCTTTTTAGATAATATGGAGATGATTTTTTTTTTAAGTCAACTTTACTACTCACTAATTAGTTCCTTGTCTTAAACACCTATATCAAGTCCAAAAAGCCCAATTACTTCTAAGTAAAATGCACTGATCCTAAATTTTAAAGAGATCTGTCAAAATCTGTGCAATAATCATAACAGAAAATGTATGATTTTAGGGCATTGTTCCAATAGGAACCAACAATGGAAAATCTTTTTGAATAAGAGACTATAAAATAACAAGGCAATTTCAGAGTTCCACACCTCTGGCAAAATGATGGCAACTACAATAAGGGACGGGTCATACCTCTGTACAAAGCGAGTCAGTAGACCTGGGTGCTGCAGTGTATGAGATATGCCCCGGACAATGCACCAAGGGCTGTAACTCTGCATATACAGGGGCACTAGTCCCAATTTTATCAAGCAACACTCCACCATCCAAAGATGTACTCACATACAATATTTGGCAATAGCAGGCCTCGGACAAATTAACACTGACTGATTGATAGAATGACAGACTGTCTAACGGATGGAGTGTGATCCTATAATCCTAGTGCTGGTGGGGGACTACCAACTAAGACATCAATACCAGATCTGAAGAAGTCTCATAAAGCAGCCAACTACACAGGTCCATTTCAGTTTATATCACTACTAAAGGGTATGTTAAGGGTATGTGCAGCAATAGCTCACTACACCTGCTCTGTATACTGAGCCTACACACAACTGTTGCTCTGGCAGAGACCAGGGGGTCCCTTACTATTGTGTGTATTCTGGTGCCAGTATAGATAGCAATAACTACCTTGTGTGATACAGTCTACAATACATCAACCCCCTGTTGGCAGACCATCAAGTCAGTGCCACTTGGGTTCCCCCTGAGCATACCTATACAACAACTTAAGCAGCCGCTGTATCAACCTGAAGACATTATCTATATAGTCTAATGCTATATCAAAGATTCAAAATCAATCTTGTTGACAAGCCTTTTAGTTTTTGTTACAGGATGCCTCTGGGGAGAATTATTATGGGCTCTGCTTTAACTCATTCACCCCTGAAATTTCATAATGGATTATTCCGACCTTTGTATTGGAAGAGTTCAAATGTGTCTTCAGGGGTGAATGAGTTAACTGATGTTCTCCAATAATCTTTTTCATAGTTTCAATCAGAACTCTACTAGGAAATATCATGGGCACTGATGTTGCATGGACTCTAATGGGATTTTTCAGTGTTTCAATCGGAACTCTGATGACACCTTGTAATGCAAAACATGTTTTAAAATTCAATTTTAACATTGAATTTTTTTATGAACTTTCTTCAAATAACCTAATATCTCAGGAAATATTTTTGCTTATTATAAATAATAAATCTGTTCAATTAATTGGGTAGCATAGGTCCTCTTTTAATTCATTAATTCATAATTTTTGGAAGGAATCAAAACAACCATATACATGCGCCATTAACATTGGGTGGCCCAGTTGCGCTAGCTGTTTTTAGTATGTCTGCCCAAGTACTTTTCGTTGGTGTCAATTACATCTGCACGTTTGTTACTGCTGGAGTAATGTACTGGCTAGGGATATATACATTTCTATGAGAAGAAATAGTAACAGAATATTTGAGAAAGAAATCATAATATCAGCATGTTTATTTAGCAAGCACAATTGTGATTGGGAGGAATGGAAAATCTCTGTGTAGAATATTCATACTGAACAATTCTACAATAAAAACACCTTACATCTTGCTTTTTATTATTTGAGCATTTGAAATTCTGATTGTCATCATGGTAACAAGGCAAAGCAATCAATAGTCCTCTACCTCCTAACTTTGTTATCAGAAAAATAACAAACGGCCACAACTCTGTGTAAAGATGGCTAGGCATGAGACCAGATTTCAGAACCCAACACCTTAATTAACATACCAAGAGGTACTTGCATCCAAATGATACCAATTACTGGTGAGACAGAGTATATTCCACTATCACCTGTTATCCCTCACTCATTCAACCCATACCAGCTTACCATATTTCCAATGGAATTTTGATATGTTAAATACCCCCCAAAAGTAAATAAACTTTAATTAATATCCATGAAAGCCTGTTACAGAGGACCACAAAGGAAGATTAATCACCATAATCTTTCATCAAATTCACCAACATCTGTTCTTAATTAGTTAAAATATAAAGTACCTAGTTATATATTGGAATAGCTAGCTAGGCCATGGATTAATTAGTTGATAACCTCCTGTTTCAAGGTAATTAGTTGCAGATCAACCCACATTTCACTTTCAGTATACTTTGGATAAATGAATACATGGAGAAGGAACTGCAAACGTAACACCAGTACAGCCAACTATCAGAGTGATCACCAACGTATTCTTGTCTCTTCTTATTATTGTATAGAATTTTTTCTCCATTTGACAAATTGATATTTCATTACCGTGACATACAATTTTTGTGACCCCACCCCTGGGTAAGCCATGTATATACACCATGACATGACATTCATTCCGTTATTTCTGTTCTTCTAATGATAAACGCGAGAAAAAAGCGATCAATAATGCTACAGACGACAGATAAATCCCTACCCTGGGGAAACAGGTTTTTCTTTGTACAGGACAAAAAAAATGGACCATCAACCAATTAGTCAAAAGTAGTTACACAGGTACGATAATACTAGAGTTATGTAGACATAGTTACACAGGTAATGATAATACTAGAGTTGTTTTGTCATAGTTACACAGGTAATGATAATACTAGTGTTGTGTTGATATAGTTACGCAGGTAATGATAATACTAAAGTTGTGTTGATATAGTTACTCAGGTAATGATAATACTAGAGTTGTGTTGATATAGTTACGCAGGTAATGATAAAACTAAAGTTGTGTTGATATAGTTACGCAGGTAATGATAAAACTAAAGTTGTGTTGATATAGTTACGCAGGTAATGATAATACTAGAGTTGTGTTGATATAGTTACACAGGTAATGATAATCCTAGAGTTGTGTTGTCATAGTTACACAGGTAATGATGATACTAGAGTTGTGTTGTCATAGTTACACAGGTAATGATGATACTAGAGTTGTGTTGTAATAGTTACACAGGTAATGATAATACTAGAGTTGTGGTGTCATAGTTACACAGGGAATGATAATACTAGAGTTGTGTTGTCATAGTTACACGGGTAATGATAATACTAGAGTTGTGTTGACATAGTTACACAGGTAATGATAAAACTAGAGGTGTGTTGTCATAGTTACACAGGTAATGATAATACTTAAGTTGTGTTGACATAGTTACACAGGTAATGATAATACTAGAGTTATGTTGTCATAGTTACACAGGTAATGATAATACTTAAGTTGTGTTGACATAGTTACACAGGTAATGATAAAACTAGAGGTGTGTTGTCATAGTTACACAGGTAATGATAATACTTAAGTTGTGTTGACATAGTTACACAGGTAATGATAAAACTAGAGGTGTGTTGTCATAGTTACACAGGTAATGATAATACTTAAGTTGTGTTGACATAGTTACACAGGTAATGATAATAGTAGAGTTGTGTTGTCATAGTTACACAGGTAATGATGATACTAGAGTTGTGTTGTCATAGTTACACAGGTAATGATAGTACTAGAGTTGTGTCGTCATAGTTACACAGGTAATGATAATACTAGAGTTGTGTTGATATAGTTACGCAGGTAATGATAATACTAAAGTTGTGTTGATATAGTTACGCAGGTAATGATAATACTAGAGTTGTGTTGATATAGTTACACAGGTAATGATAATACTAGAGTTGTGTTGACATAGTTACACAGGTAATGATAATACTAGAGTTGTGTTGTCATAGTTACACAGGTAATGATAATACTAGAGTTGTG